AAAGGAAATAACGAAGGAAGAAGAAGTAGTGTGAAGAGAAGTAACACTGTGAAGAGAAGCAACACACGTCAACAAGAAGTTGGAGTTTGATATCATAAAAAAAAAAATTGGTTTTAGACCATAACTCAATTAAGGGGGAATGATGGTTTATAATTGAGTTTGGTCTTATTATTATTATTTCATATAATTAGATAACTATTGTGTGTGTAATTAAGTGAAGAGGTGTGTATTAATGGGTACACATGAAAGGGTGTATACGTTATATTGTTGCGTTGGTTCGTGACTTGTTGTGAATGGTTGCGACCGTGTACGTAAGACATGTATATATAAGTGTATGTGTTCTTGTAATAAGTTAACAAGTTTCACTATAATAAAAATTCAGTTTCTGTTCTTGTCTTCTACAAGAGAAGAGACAAAAGTCTCTTACTCTGTTTTTTCTTCTTCTCTCTCAAATATTCCAACAATATTGCGGCTCAGGCGTCCCCAACGAATCTCAAAACATCAACTGTACTCTCAATGTCTCTCTGACCATCCACATAGTGAAAACATGCGCACGCAGTCAAAGCAAGATTTTTCTTTGGATCCCATCCGTTTCGCCTCACCTCCATTGCCGTCTTCTTCTTCTCCTCCTCCTCCTCTTCCTTATGATCTTCGAACACGTCATTCACCTTTGACACGGTGTCTTCTATCACGAGTTTTCTGTAGTGATCTAACTGGAGAATATCTTTTATCTTGACTTTGGAACAATGATGCTCTCCGACTTCCCACTCTTCAAGAATCTCGTGAGCCCCTTCGATATCGTCTTTCAACCAAAACGCTATAATCATGTGAGTATAGTCATTAATGTTAAACCCAAACACTTTCATGTCCTTACCTAAGTTCCACAAACGGCGAAGGTCTTCCTTTTCTCCTAAACGCGCATATATTAGCCTGAGAAAACTAAACAATCTTGGTCCGAGGATGTCGTAATACTCAGAAGTAACCAGTAATGGCTCTGACTTACGCAGCATGTCTAAAGCAAACCCCTTTGGTCTATTCTCCTCTAACTTGTTCAAATACTTTTCCAGTCCCTTTGCGTCCCATACTAATATGTAAGAAGCCAATACCTTGTGAGTCGGTACTCCTTTGAATTTCATCTTTTCACCGTCCACCTCGCTCTGATGAATGCTTTCGAGTTCCAAACGTTTTTTTCGTTTCTGAATATGTTTCTGTAATAATTTCTTTCTTTTTGCCTTCTCCTGCTCTCGGAGCAAATCTTCCTCATTCTTTAGGAGCGGTACTGTTTTGGGGAAGCGGAAAATGGAAAATCTACAAGGAAGAATCCTCAACAAGCAACCCAATTGTGATCGTCGAACAAGATGATTCATGCTCATGTAGACAAATTATAATACTCAATATTTTTTCTTAGTTACTAGGTTTATATATGCTTTCGTAACACAGAATGTTCTCTCAAACAATCTTGCAACTATTTATATCAAAAGATATGTTTTAGCCGTCAGTATTGGAATGTTTGAAAATATATGGAAACGTAAATGTCAAGAATAAGAAGTTTTACTATTATAACACATAATTTAACCTTGTTAAAAATAAAGAAAGGAAAACTTATCTTGGAATTGGAAAATAACCCACCATGGAATATCTAATAGGGTCACCAAAAATGGAAGTGGAAAAAAAGAAAGTAAAGGAAAATACATAAAATGTATAAATTTTTTTCCCCATAATCCATAAGATTGATGCAAAGCCCAAAATCAGTATATATTTATAGCATTTCCGTATAGTTTTATTTCTCAACCAAACAAACAATCATGTAATTGTTACATTCTCCATAAATTGAACATCAGCCAATAACTTCACAAGTACATCATACCATAAGGTTGCATGAACATCAATATATACTTCCTTCTTCAATCCCCTGAAAGAGCACAAGCTTACCACTTATACTATTCCCCGGTCCGCCTCTAGCTGCAATCGGTTTGCCCCAACCGAAATCGTTACCATACACATCAAACCAAGGAGAGCTTGAAACAACCACAGAATCACAAACCATTTTACTTCCATCACCAGTTTTTGATATCTTTACATTTTTAATCCAATCCTCAGCTAAAGTTTTATACTTTTCATCAGTTTGTGACCTCACCATTTTACTTATTTGCAAAGCAGCCCAACCCATCTCATGATCCAGAAGTTCCCCTACTGTGACCGTAGCTACCCCGAGACTGTTCACGTTCATCATGTGCGTTTTACATTTCTAAATTCGAATTTACATAAAGTTGATTATTGAATGATTCGAGGAGACACAACATAAAAAAAAACTTGATTATAAGCACTAATTTACGTAAGAAATAGCTTATTATAAACTATCAATTCAAGAATTAAACAAAAGATTTGCTTTTATCTGCCAACCAATTAATTAACTCATATATTAGCAACATTTCTCCAGAACATAGCCTTCTTCAATCCACACGGAAAAGCACGAGTTTGCCACTAATACTATTTGCTCGGTCCAGCTTGAACCGTGATCGGTTTGTCCTAACTAACCGAAATCGTTATCGTACACTTCAAACCGGGGGGAGAGCTTCAGACAATTACAGAACAAAATCCCTAGTCAGATATTACTTCCAAGACCTGAATTTTAGAGCAAATCTTTGACCAAGTGCATGCTGAAGAAATTCCAGACGGAAGGATCGTCGGCGACCATGTGATTGTAACCAAAATCAATGAAGGCTCTCCATCCCTCATCTCGGTAACTTGTAAAGCAAGAAAGGGCTCCGAGACTCCATTCATGGGATCGAAAATGAACAGAGTCTTTATTTTATAGATCATGATCAGGAAAAGATTTTATAGATTTCATTTGTTTTAAATAATTGCGGAGCTAGAAAATCGGATCATGAGGGTCAAAAACAAATTATAATGATTAATTGTGTTATTAAAAAAAATTATAGGGGTCAGTTGTGAAATATTGCATGGGTCAATTTGATTTTTTCCCTAAAAATACATCAAATTTGAAACATTCACGACCCTCATACCACTACCCTACCTCTGCCCCTGAACACTCGTCGTTTTTGTGTATAGTTTAAGACACGTGATTAAAAATCTCAATTATTGAATAAATTGCTCTGGCCTGACAGTGACATGACATAAACAACACAAAGTGTTGAAATATGCAATCAGTGTTTTGTTTTGGTCGCTGAATTCAAAGATGGTTCTCTCCAAACGCTTGCGTATCACAGTTTTGTTTTGTTTCTGCTTTATACAGTTAATGTGTTGGATGTTATTTGTGCTTGGAGATCGATAGAATACATCTCAAAAAGAAAAGAGATCGACACTAGCAACCACAAGACAATGTCCTTGTTATTAGTTTTATTCTCAACCAATTCAAATCATGCAACAGTTACATGCTCTAAAAATTCCACATCGGCTAGTAATTTCACTATTACATCAGACCATAGGTTTGCTTGAACATCAATACTTCCTTCACTGATTCCCTGAAAAAGTGTAAGCTTGCCACTGATACTATTCGAAGGTCCAGCTCGAATTGCAATAGGTTTTCCCCAACCGAAATCCTTGTTGTACACTTCGAAACGAGGAGAGCTTGCGATAACTATAGTTCCACCATCTACTTTACTGCCAATGCCTGCTCTTAGGTTATTAACATTTCTAACCCATTCCTCTGCAAAAAACTTACAGTTTTCACTCGTTTGCGAGCTCACTAAGTTTCTTATTTTCAGAGCAGCCCAACCCAAGCCACGGTCCAGCAGCTCTTCCACGGTGGTTGTGGCTGGTGCAAGATAGACCATGTTCCCAAAACAATCTTTCTCAAGCGGAGGATTTACCCTCTGCCTCACGTCCACCACTAATTTGCAATGCGTCTTTTGCTCTCGGCTCACACCACTGTGTCTGATGATTGATCGCCACATATGTGCAGAAACCGCTTGAAGAGATGAAATCCCCTGGTCATTGGAGGCAACCTCGCTGTTGGCTTTAGATTTGAGATTTGAAATGTTTTCCTTTGTGAAGTGAAAAATCCACTCTTTCGTAGTGGGCACTGAAGAAAGTTCACGGCTCGGTGGTGGCCTCTCCGTCTCTGATACCGGAATATGGATCGGGTAATCAATCCCCTCGAGGAACCATCCTTTGAGAACAAGAGGCTTAGGATTGAAACCTGAACCAGTCGAGCAAATCTTGGACCAAGTATGCAAGAAATCCCACATAGAGACACCGTCTGCCACCACGTGGTTGTAACAGTAACTGATGAACACTCCATCCTTCATCTCAGTAACTTGTACAACAAGCAAGGGCACGGTGACACCATCACAGCTCTTGAAATCGTCTGCGGGAAAGAAATGCTTGGCGAAATCGGGAACAGAACCATCAGGCTGAAGAAGATCACTCACCGAGACAGAGTTAGCTTCTGCGTGGAGGAATCTAGCGCCAGAGCCATCACAGTCTATGTAAAAAGAGGCTGTATCGTCTTCAAGATTCTCTGTTTTGACGAGACGGCCGGCGAAAGGGAAGTAGATATCTAAGGCGAGAGAGAGTGAGGTCTTTAGCCTAGAGATAAGGTTGAAATCTGGATCAGGTTTGGGAAAGAGAAGACCTCTTTGAGGATAATCGAACTGAAGAAGGCTGAGATCAAATGGAGTAAGATGGATCTTAGTTCGACCGGATTGGTTGCTGTTAACGGGTTGAACCATGCTTGACGAGACTAAAACTACTCCTCCTGCCATTTTTTTTTTGGTCTCTACTGTGAAGTTGTAAAAGGAAAAAAGGGTAAAGCTTGGCTAATCTTTAAGTAGTACCCACATCCACATCCTACCAAGAAAGCAAATCCTATCTGATGTACGTTGAAGATTTAGTTTTTTTTTTTTTCTTTTTTTTTTTGCTAAACAAGAAGATTTCGTTATTGCGCAGGTTACATATTTTATTACATAATATCTTCACAATATAATTAATTAATTATACCTTAGCATCTTAATGTCCATCAGTGATTTGTTGGTAATATGTATATACAAAATCTAAGTCACAATCAAAATTACTCTTGACTTTATTTTAGAAGCCTTTTCGTTAAAATAATTCTTTGCCGACAAAAACGTTATTTTCTAAAATAATTGTTTGTGATCGGTTTATTCATATCATAATCATTTAAACTTGTGAGTATTAAGTAAAATACAGTTAGGGCATCCTCGTTGCTAGTATCTTAGGGCATCCTCAATGCAAAGGATCTTAGAGGGTTTTCACCCTAAGATTTGCAAAGAGGGTACCTTATATAATATACCCTCTTTGCAAATCTTAGGGTAAAAACCCCCTTAAGATCCTTTGCATTGAGGATGGTCTTAGGGGGTAAGATCCCCTAAGATTTACAAAGTAAAATCTTTATATAAGATATTTCCTTTGTAAATCTTAGGGGTATACTAGCAATGAGGATGGTCTTACTTACTCGGTTACAAATGTAAAAAGTAAACCGATTTTCCTATTTAATTTTATAATTATTTAAAACTGAAATAAATAAATAAAAGTAGAAAAAGTATGTTCAGCCACTTGAACATACTTTGTCTACAGTTCTCAATTTCACTACAGTTAGAACATACTTTGTCTACTCAGCCATTTGAAACAAAACGGATTTAGATAGATCTTTGCTCGTCCAGATTGGTTGAGAATATTACAGTCACATCTGCCTATGTTGGTGACTTGTGAGCACAATCACTTTTTCAAAGTATTTTATCTTACAGTAAAGAAATTTTAACTTTTACTAATCACTTCCGTACGTTCCAAGATATGCGAAAAAAGTATATACGTAAAGTTGGAATTTACAGTTACATTTGGTGTGTGTAAGTCCGAATAATATGTTTTATTTCAAATTATGCAATAGTTACATGCTCAACAAATTCTACGTCGGCTAGTAGATTAACTAGTACATGAGACCATAGTGTCGCCTGAACATCTATAGTTCCTTCTTCGATTCCAGGGAAAAATACAAGTTTACCACTGATGCTATTGCCCGGTCCAGCTCGAGCTGCAATCGGTTTACCCCAACCGAAATCGTTGTTGTACACTTCAAACCGGGGAGAGCTTGCGACAACTATAGTATCACCATCCGTTCTTCCACCAACGCCTACTTTTAGGTTCTTTACATTCCTAATCCAATCCTCTGCAAAAGTTTTACAGTTTTCATTAGTTTGCGACTTCACTACTTTATTTATTTGCAAAGCGGCCCATCCTAGCCCACGATCCAGCAGCTCTTCCACGGTAGCTATAGCTGATGAAAGATAGGCCATATTCCCAAAACAATCTTTCTCGAGTGGAGGATTCAGCCTCTGTCTCAAGTCCACTGCTACTTTGCAATGCGTCTCTCTTTCTCGGCTGAGACCACTGTGTCTGATGATAGACCTCCACATATGTGCAGAAACTGCTTGAATAGATGAGATTTTCAAGTCACTAGAATCAACCTCGCTGTTGGCTTTAGCTTTGAGATCAGAAATATTCTTCTTTGTGAAGTGAAATACCCTGTCTTTTGTACTGGCTACGGAAGATAGTTCACGGCTTGGCTGTGACCTCTCCGTCTCTGAAACTGGAATATGGATAGGGTAGTTGATCCCGTCAAGGAACCATCCTTTAAGAATAAGAGGCTGATGATCTGAAGAAACCGAACCACTCGAGCAAATCTTGGACCAAGTGTGGAAGAAGTTCCACATCGAAGCACCGTCTGCTACCAAGTGGTTGTAACAGAATCCGATGAAAACTCCATCCTTCATCTCAGTGACTTGTAATGCAAGTAAGGGCTCCAAGACACCATCACAGCTCTTGAAATCATCAGCAGGAAAGAAGAGCTTTATGAAATTGGGAACAGAACCATCAGGCTGTAGAAAATCACTCACCGAGATTGATTTAGCTTCGGCGTGGAGAAATCTTGAGCCGGAGCCATCACAGTCTATGTAAAACGACGCCGAGTTATCTTCAAGATTCTCCACTTTGACGAGACGACCTGCGAAAGGGAAGTAGGTCTCCAAGGCAACAGAGAGAGAGGCCTTTAGTCGAGAGATGAGATCGAAATTTGGATCGGGTTTGGGAAAGAGAAGACCTCTTTGAGGATAATCATATTGAAGTTGAGTAAGATCAAATGGAGTAAGATGGATCTTTGCCCGACCCGATCGGCTGTTGTTTACGGGTCGAACAATGCTCGAGGAGATTATGAGCAAATCTGCCATTTGTTAGTGTGATTCTGTGAAACTAAGCCTCATCTAATATAATCTTATATCTCGGCTAATCTAAAATGAGATCCACACACTATAAAGATAGAATAAGTTACGTGTGTATTAAGGACTTAAATCATGTATGTATGTCAAATTGTTTGGTGTTTTGTTATGCAATTAACATACGTAGATTAGTTTGTTTTCTTATCTAACAATAACATAGGTAAACATGTCATTTTGTTTGTCTACTAGCCTAGAACGTTTCAAGAGTCACCTTTGATCTATTCCACTAGGGAGTCTGAACATCCCAACCAACTCAAGTCTTTTTAACTAGCCTGATGTGATTATAATCGAAGTATTAGACAGTCATTACAATAATAATCTGGTGTTTACCAAACAATTGATAAGATATTAACAAGAAACTCATAACTAACTACTAAAATTAAGAATAATGTACAGAGTTTTGTCTTGCCGGATGAAATTTAGATACAATGACGAAACAGAGGAATCTTTTAATACCCACGTTTCATATAACACAAGCTCAGCTGTAACTTGTAAGAATTTTAATTTACCACCAAATTGTCATCGTGATGTTCCGGCTCGGGTAACTTGTTCAAGTCAACTAGCTTCATGAGTAACCCGCCGCCAAAGTCTCCCTTTTGACTAAAAACGCGGCGGCGTTTGTTGTTCTGTACCACCGTCGTCCCGATAGCGTCCACCTGAGCTCCAACCTCCGTTGCCTTTCTCCTGATCGTCGCGGCCGACATGTCCTCGGCGGCGGAATTTTCGATACACGGCAGAAGCTCCGGGAAGTTGAGCCTAGCGGTTGGTCCTCTGAGGTAAAACACGGCCGTGTCGTACGCACGAGCCGCAGCTTCAGGAGTAGAGTAAGAGCCGAGCCATAGCCTTGAACGCTTGTTAGGTTCACGAATCTCGGCAACCCATTTGCCCCATTTCCTCATCCTTATCCCTTTGAATGGTCTTTCTCTCTTCCTTGCCCCAGCACCCACGTCAACTACGGCTGCTGCTCCACCATCCATGGCGGCTATGGAGTTGAGTTTCAAAGTGGATGACTTTAGAAATGGGTTTTAGAGAAATTATCTGATTTCTTGATCAAGTTTCTCTTATATATGTGAATTAAGAGAGAGAGAGAGAGAGGCTGCAGTTGTAGGTGGAGGAGAAAATTCCAAAGTCGATGTCGACGTAGCGATATAGTTGAAATTTTGTTTCGATTACAAAAACATAAAATTGATATAATATAAAAACTTAATTTAGGTTAAATTTTTTTTTTTTGTAAAGATAAGAAAATGATTAGAAAACTTTGTTTGTGATAAGCTTGAGAAAAGTCGTGGAGAGAAATAGTCTTGTCTTTTAGTTAACAATATAACCGAATATTAAATCATTGAGTAGGATCCAATTCTTGATCAGTATTGTAATGGTGAAATAATATAATCATCGTATCATACACCAATCGTCTGATAATTTGTTGTTAGCTTGTATACACGGTAGCATTATTAAAACATTATGTTTGTAATCATTTCCACAAACCTTGTACATAACGTTAAATATACCAGCGCATGCATGCATGGCAGCATCAGCATGGTATTGAAACGAAACAAAATCCGAAAAATTTAAGATAAAACAGAAAAAAAAAAACACATCGAATGGTCTCGTTTACGTATTATTGGATAGAAGAGCTCAATATCAAATGACATATACGCGTACGTATATACATGTAACACGTCCATATAAACAAAAACAAAAAAAAAAGACAAAAGGAGATGAAGACACAACAAACCAAAGGTGGCCCCTATGGTATTGGATGGTCGGTAGTCACCGTAGTCGGTGGCTGGATACCGTTTGTAAATTGACTTTTGTACGTGTTTACGTAAATGATGATACATTGATACGTATCACGAAACTAGTATTGTCCATTTTGTCCATCTGTATCTGTAGACCTTTGGAAGCTTCTCTCATGCGATAGTGGTAGCGAACAGGGAGAGTTTTGGTATTGTGTTGCATTATTGCGGGCTCTCATGTCGGCACATAAAAACTCAGGCTACGTGCTGACTGCTGATTATTATAATCACGAGGGCGGCTCACATGTCATTTGCATTATGTTTTTTTTTAATGATTAACAATAGTATTGCTGACCAATGGTTTATGTTTTTTTGTTTTGTTTTTGGTTTTGTCGTGATTAACAAATAGTATTACAGGAAAAGATTATCATGCTCTGTTTTGTTTGTTGCAGTCTTTAACGTTTATTTAAGTTTTGACGGTGGATGTCTAATAATAACATCGGACTAATTCAACGTAATAGATTAAGTTAACGATAATACCTTAATTTTTGACGTTTTATTCATATACAATACAAGAAAAGATTCTGATGCTCTGTTTTGTTTACACTCATAAATTTGTTGATATTGGGTAGAGATAAAAGTAAAACGAATTGGTAAGTTTATATATCTTTTGAGATTTGAGATATCTTTTGAGATCTTTATTTGAGTATAATGGGCCTTTCTGTTGGGCTTTTTCAAATATTTGAAGGTTGTCCTCGAAAAATTTGCTTTCGTATCTTGCCAATTGCCATACGCCCATACCCATATCATTGGTTCTTTATTTGACTGCCAGTTATTTGATTTGAGATCTGATTGTTACGTAGGACTGGTTTCTGCATTGTCCGCTGTCTCGTGCTCTAATATTGTTTTAAAGGTATAGTCCACTTACTGTCCAACGAAATGGTAAAATTAGAGGTAAGTCTGCCAAGAGTAAGGAATATGCTTATCCTTTGAAGGTCTAGTCTTTCATTGGGTATGTCTTTTATGTGTGAAATGGGCCAGAATAGCTAAATGATCACTTGCCGATCTTTTTTAGCATCAATATATGGAGAACATATATCAATTTCTTTTGACGGTACTCTTGCCTATCATGAGGTAAGTGTTCGTCCATATAGTAATTTCAGTGATCATCATTTCTCAAGAGTTTATTTTTTGCTATGTATTGGTTTTTGAATGCACAGCAATATTTGATTTCAGAATGAGGCTTCTAAACCTAAAGTCACAAAACAGAGGAGACTGATAGACTTATTTTTCGAAAGTCTGTACGGTACTCACAAAAGAGAGGAGCTAGTTTCTTGCAATATAAGGTATCTCTCTTGTAATTTTTCTTTCAGTCTTATATAAAAACCGAAAGCCGTGAATTCTTACATAAGCTTTTTGTTTTTTTTACTTAGGTGGTCTTTTTAGTTCTATCATCGCAATACTATTCGTTAGATTTTTTTTTTTCCAATTTTTCGATATCTTACAAGCTAGTTGATTTAAATTTAAATTTAACTATATGATTATCATAGAGTCATAATCATTTGGGTCGTATCCATAGACAGAAAACAAACCTATATAATAATTAGCTTGTGAGCTAGCCTTAAAAACATTATATATGCATTGTGTATAAAACAAAACATAGATACTAATAAAATTAGGTAGATACATGCAAATGCATTTTAATTTAAACCTAACGAAAACCAACATTAGAAGCTATATATAGACGTATGGTGCAAATTTTGTTATTGCATCAAATGATGTAATACACAATAATCGAAAATTATAGGGAAAATATCATTACAAAAATCTAAAAATTATCTACAACCACCGATGACATCAATTTTTTTGTTTTCCTTCAATCTCAAGGAAGTTCCATTAAGTTTAACAAAAAATAGAACTCATACTTTTTTTTATAAAATGGCTTACTCTTAGCTAAATTCACCTTTAACAAGGAAGGTAAAGGCGACTTTAGTGATGGGAACAGAAAAATAAATAAAGATAGTCATTGTTGTGAAAGCTATCATGATTAATCATGGTCTTAAACAGAATTGGGTAGAGTTAACTTTATTACTTTTAACAGCCACACAAAAAAAATACGTATATTATATCTTCTAAAATGTTTTCTTTTTTTGTAAAGTGGATAAACTGATACAAACCAAGTAATGAGCCTAGCAGAAAGACATGTGAGGGTAGGGACTATAATATAAAAGGCCCAAATGGAGCGTACTGCGGTCCCTAACACTTTTGGACAAAACAAAATAATCTATTCTATATTTTCTAATAAGTTTTTTTTTTTAATTTGTGTATTTCACTGTTGGGATTTTCCCGCGCAGAAGAAGGACCAGAAACGAATGTCTTGACCCTTCTTCATGATTTATTATTTTGTTTTTTTTTTTTTGTCTTTTTAACCAAAAGAGACGACTGCAAAAAAAATAAAAAAATTCACCAGCTTTGGAACCATCGACTTTGACGCACACAACACAGTTTAGTTGTCGCATTTACACGCACCACCAATTCAACTTAACTCGTCTATCAAAATAAAATTTCCAATAACGTTTTTATATGAATATATAATAAAAGTGTGGTAGACAGATCTGATTTTTCTTTCAATACACACGCACCAATGGTTTTATATATAGAATAAAGTCAAATAAATAGAAGTAGAAGAATGGGAAGAATCTGACGTGGATGGTATTGTAAAGGTAAAATTAGACTTTTCTAAAGGGCAGAAAAGGAAATACAAAGATACCTCGTATACCCCAAACCACAGAGATAGAGATAGAGAGAGAGAGAGAGGAGTGAGTGAGTGAGAAGAGCTTCTTCTTCCCCCGAGGAAGGCGTCGTTGTCGTTTCAGACGAAATCAAAGACTCGATTCTCAATTTCCTCGACGAAGAAGCTTTCTCGATGAAATCACATTCTTCCTTATCGTCGTCCTCTTCTTCTTCTCCACCACCGTCCTCGTCGTCGTCGTCGTCGAAGAGCTGCTGTGTAAAAGTGGCGGTTAACGTTCGTCCTTTGATCGGAGACGAGATAACTCAAGGTTGTAGGGAATGTGTCTCCGTTACTCCGTTAACGCCTCAGGTGAGTTTTTTTTTTCTTCTTTTCCCGATCGTGAATTGAGTCAGTTTCGTCTCCTCCGCTCTTTTTATTTATTTCTTCCGATGGTGTTTTAATGCGACCGTCGTTGTTCACGCTATTCATGGATCCGGATCAAAATCTCTGTTCTAACTCTGACACCTTCATTTAATTTTGTTTTTCTTATAAAACAGTGTCCATTTTTTTTTTAACTATATAATATAGATAAGTGTTGGCTGTGTTGGTATGCTACTGTATTGGGATTGATAAGTCAATGAGCATTGTTTAATGTATTTAATGGGATTTTGATTGACTCGAAGATAGATTATGACTGCTTAAATGGGTTTATGGAATGGGTTTAACAAGAGCTTTATTGATTTCTTGTTTGAAATGTGTGTTTTTCTTGTTGGTGCAGGTGCAAATGGGAACACATTCTTTCACTTTTGATCATGTATATGGAAGTAGTAATGGTTCTCCATCTTCCTTGATGTTTGAAGAATGTGTTGCTCCTCTTGTTGATGGTTTGTTTCATGGATATAATGCTACTGTGCTGGCTTATGGTCAGGTACAGAGGAGTTTCTTAAAAACTGGATTAAGTATTGGTTTTAGCTGCTTTTTTTTTCTTTTCCATTTGATCAGTTACACAACTTCTGCAGACAGGATCTGGAAAAACTTACACTATGGGGACTGCTTTTAGAAATGGTACAAGCAACGGGTTGGTTCCTCAAGTTATGAGTGCTTTGTTCAACAAAATTGATTTATTGAAGGACCAAATGGGGTTCCAGTTACATGTCTCTTTCATCGAGGTATCATCCGTTTGGTTGCTCTTGTTCTTCAAACTCGTGTTCTCTTCACATTCCAACACATGTGACTAGTTTATCCATGAATAAGTGTAGAACGTTGTCTCCCTAGTCAAGCTTGCCTTTATAATTATTCATTATTTGCGTGGATATTAACTGAAATCTTTATATGTAGATTTTAAAAGAAGAAGTTCTGGATTTGCTGGATAGTGTGCCGTTTAACAGACTAGCCAATGGAACCCCAGGAAAGGTTGTTCTTAGTAAGTCACCTGTGCAGATTCGGGAATCACCAAATGGGGTCATAACACTATCCGGTGCAACTGAAGTTCCCATAGCTACTAAAGAAGAAATGGCTTCATGTCTAGAGCAAGGATCTCTAACCAGGGCTACTGGGAGCACCAATATGAATAATGAATCGAGGTGAGAATCTCTATACTCAGGCTCCATAAGAAGGAAGGCGTTGCTTCACTTACAGTTAATGATGCTTAGCCAGTAGTAGAATGTAGTTATATTGAAAATTACAATAAACGAGCAATTGTGGGAAAGCTATAAATGGTAAAAAGAGGCATCATCAACAGTTCGTGCATTAAATTTTCCGTTTCTATATCCATGATAGAGTAAAATATTCTTCTTATACAGTCGGTCACATGCCATCTTCACAATCACCTTAGAACAGATGCGCAAAATCCCTTCGATCTCCGTGGTTAAAGACACCGTAGATGAAGATATGGGTGAGGAATATTGTTGTGCTAAGCTTCACCTGGTCGATCTTGCTGGGTCTGAAAGAGCTAAACGAACAGGTTCAGGCGGTGTTCGGTTAAAGGAAGGTTTGTAAAACTGACATCCCATCTTACATCCTTTTGAGAAAGTTGACTTACCTTTTATAACCCAATTTTCTTTGTTCTCCGAAACAGGAATTCACATCAATAAGGGGCTTCTTGCACTTGGTAATGTTATCAGTGCCCTTGGGGATGAGAAAAAACGTAAAGAAGGTTCTCATGTTCCCTACCGTGATAGTAAACTTACTCGGTTATTGCAGGTTCATTTCTATCTTTGCACTTCTAGATGCTAATATGTGGAGCTACTTATATTATCACTATACATAAAATTTGTGACTGAGTTATTATCTTTATTGGCATGTAATTTTATGGATCATATGTGATTTATGTGATAAATGTTTCCATTAAAGATCTCCTTTACATTACTGCAGGATTCTCTTGGTGGAAACAGTAAAACAGTCATGATAGGTAGACTTCTATGTTGTATGAGTTAAATTCCTGGAAATCTTATATCTGTTCACAAATTCAACATTCCTCTATGTTTGTATTCTTGTAGCTTGCATTAGTCCTGCTGACATCAATGCTGAGGAAACTCTTAACACACTCAAATATGCAAATCGTGCTCGGAATATCCAGAACAAACCTGTTGTAAGTACCAAGGAACTATCTTAGATGACCTTTCATTCTTTTCTGCCGACAAAGCTCCACTCTCAGCTAACACAATTTGAAATACATGAGGACTAAGATTGTTCACTAGGGAGCTCTAACAGGAGATACCTCTTTATATTGGTTCACAGGCGAATAAAGACTTAATATGTACTGAGATGCAAAAGATGCGTCAACAGCTACAACATCTACAAGCTGCAGTTTGTGCTCGTGGGGCAATCTCATCAGAGGAAGGGCAGGTATATAATTTCTGCTGAACTTCTTCAGAAGGTTTATAAACTTGTCATCAATAATAGTATATAGTTCAATCTTCAAGGTTATGCGAGAGAAAATCATGAAGCTAGAGTCTGCCAATGAAGAGCTTTCTCGAGAACTTCACATCTATTGCAGCAAGAGAGCTACTCTTTATTGCAATCTTGACGCACAGGTAACTTCTGTATACATTAGGCAATCATAATAGATTTTATTTGGCACATTTCCTCACTGCTGAAAACAAGAGTTGATCTACCTCAGGAAGATGGTGGCCTTAAAAGGGGTTTCGAAAGCATGGATTCAGATTATGAAATGAGTGAAGCAACATCAGGTTTTGCACAATGGCTTCTCTAGAAACTTATTTCATGAAATGCATCTGCATTCTCCTACCCTTACTTTAGCTTGAAAGTTTTTTCTGGTTCAAGGTGGAATTTCTGAAGATATTGGTGCTGCAGAAGAGTGGGAACATACACTTAGGCAGAATAGCATGGGAAAGGAATTAAATGAACTAAGTAAACGTCTGGAAGAGAAAGAGGTTTAGTCATTACTCATCTGAAATTTTCTGTACCTATTATTTAAGAACTGGTTAGTTTGATAATCTTATGATTTTTTATGCAGTCTGAGATGATAAAATGTGGGGTTGGAACTGAAACTATCAGACAACACTTTGAGAAGAAAATGATGGAACTTGAGAAAGAGAAAAAAACTGTACAGGTGAACAAAACATTCTAAATTTTTCTTGTTGATATCTTATGTAAATTTTAATACCTGAGTCATGCGTAACTTCTACAGGTTGAGAGAGATCTATTGTTGGCTGAAGTTGAGGAACTCGCCGCTAGATCCGATAGACAAGCACAAGTTGCAACAGATAACCATGCACAAAAACTAAAAGCACTTGAGACACAGATTTCAAATCTTAAGAAGAAAGAAGAAAATCAAGTTGAGGTCTTAAAACAAAAGCAAAAAAGTGAAGATGCGGCAAAGCGTTTGAGAGCTGAAATACAATGCATTAAGGCTCAGAAGGTTGTGTCTTGTTCAGCTGTGCCATCGAGTTTTTTCTATATCACTAGTTCACATAATTTAGCTGTACATTTTTAACTTTTGTTCTTTTTATGTTATCCAGGTCCAACTACAACAGAAGATGAAACAAGAAGCTGAACAATTCCGGCAATGGAAAGCTTCTCAAGAGAAGGAGTTGTTGCAGGTAATTTATCTCTATCCAGTTCTTCAACTCTTTATTGTTTGTCAAATATTTTAAGTTACGCTGATCTCATGTTGCACTTTTTAATTGTTTTTGGGTAGCTTAAGAAAGAAGGAAGAAAAACTGAGCATGAAAGACTCAAACTTGAAGCTCTCAATCGACGTCAGAAAATGGTAAGAATATTATGAAAATGGTAAGTGTTTCTCTCGCTTGAGAGAAACACTTAGAAGAATTATCCAACCCGGTTGCAGATATAATAATCTCATGAGAACATGCATCTTTATGTCTTCAGGTTCTTCAGAGAAAAACAGAGGAAGCAGCAATGGCTACCAAAAGACTTAAGGAGCTACTAGAAGCCCGAAAGTCTTCACCACGTGATATATCAGGTAACTTATGCCGAAATACACCTCGTTTTGTTCTTGTTTCGGTCATGATCTTTTTGTTTTTTTTTCCAGTGACTCCCAACGGTCAACCACCAACAAGACAGGTATCAAGAACTCCTAATGTAGATATGAATTTGTCATCCTGCACACGTATCAACTGTTTCCTTTCTTACCTTTTGTAGATGAACGAAAAAACTCTTCGGAAATGGCTTGATAACGAACTAGATGTTGTGGCAAAAGTACATCAAGTTCGTTTTCAATATGAAAAGCAAATGCAAGTGTGCGTCTTCAGAACTCTGTTTCAGTTATGTTTTTTATTTTCAAATTTCTTTTTCCCGGAAATTTATTCTAATATAATCTACTCTGGTTTGCATATAGACGAGCTTCATTGGCTGAAGAGTTAACCTCGTTGAAAAAAGAGATGGAGCTTCCTTCGAGTCCCCATCAAGAAAAAAATGGACAGTTTAGGTACAACATTATGCTTGCCTCAGTAGTGTAAACTATGAAGTTGCTTGGGAGTGGATTGATTCACTTTATCACCTGTTTATTTTTCCCCATGCGTCAGATGTTTATCACCAAACACAAGGGTGGAGAGAATAGCTTCTCTTGAGAGCATGTTGGATATTTCCTCAAATGCTCTCACAGCCATGGCCTCTCAGCTCTCAGAAGCAGAGGAAAGAGAGCATAGCCTACATGCTAAGACTCGGTGGAACCACATTCGGTCCATGACTGATGCCAAGTATTTGCTTCAATATGTGTTTGATTCTGCTTCCGAAGCAAGGTAACAACTCTTAAACCTGAATAGAAAAAACTCAGTACAAATGCAAAATTTTGGACGAAATGATACTTCTTTCCCAGACATGGGAGATTGATTTTTTCCTACTCAAACATCAAACAGGTGCAAAATCTGGGAGAAAGACAGAGACATCAAAGAGAAGAAGGAAGAACTCAATGACCTCCTCTGCTTATTACAACTAACCGAAGTCCAGAACCGAGAAATCATTAAAGAGAAAAAGACAAGGGAGCAAACAGTGTCCATTGCACTGGCTTCATCATCATCATCATACTCGGTTGATAAATTTAATCCTTCTTTCCAAACTAAAAACTCTTTATTGGGAAGTTCTGCTAAAAATGTATGCAAAATTTCACTTCTTGCAGGGAAGTTCAAGAAACTCATCAAAGCACTATGGAAACAATAACGCTAGTGACCTATCATCTCCATCTTCTTGTCATCGAGCAACAAAGCATCTCAAATACGCTGGGCCAGTCTCGGTGAGAGAATCAGAAGCTTTATTAGAAGAGACGAGGAAGATGAAAGCAAAGAAGAAAATGGGACAGAGTGGGAAGCTATGGAAGTGGAAGAGAAGTCACCATCAATGGCTGCTTCAGTTTAAATGGAAATGGCAGAAACCATGGAAACTCTCTGAGTGGATAAAGCATAACGATGAGACCTCTATGCTCTTCATGTCAAAGCCTCACGATGAGGATGATGATCATTCTTGGAACCGACACTCAATGTTTCAAGGTGCTTAATGCTGTTTAATGCTGTATATACAGAAGCCTATTTTTTATTTTATTTTTGTCTGTCAACAGATTTAGAGTTGGTCCATTCGGTTGTGTCATAGGCTATGACTCATAGAAGAGTCTAAGAACATTGTTATACCTCTAATACAAAAATCCGTTGACTTGCACAGTAAAAAAGGAAAATATTCTTGGAGGTCCGTTAGCTTTGGCGCCGAATATAAACAAATTTCAACTTGCATTACCATTTAACATGGTGGAATATTATTCCTCTTTCACACATGTCTGTGGTGCCCAAAATTTGAGTGCACAAAATTCTAAAACAAGCATAATCTAAATTTGAAAACATCACCTCACCATCTTAAGAAAATTTACGCTTTATAATATTCTCTTTTTCTTTGTCCCAAGTTTGTTTAACCCTTCAAAAATACACACACTTGTATCAAAGGAATTTATCGTTCTCTTCACTCATCACAACGCTCTCCTTAATCTCTTGAATCATTTTGATCACTTTTTTCATTGTCGGCCTTTGCTCAGGTGATGTCACACGACAAAGGCAAGCCGTTTGAGTCATCATCTCAAGTCCATTCTCTTCTTTTGACCTTTCCTCTTCTTGCCTCATTGCTCTAACCCAATCCAACATATCGTTTGGCTCCATAAAGGGTTGCCTAGAAGCTGTTTTACCTGTCAAGAGCTCTAAGAGGAAGACCCCGAACGAGTACACATCGCATTTGGACGTGGGGCGGCTATCAGTTGATTTCCTTGTCTCCGGTGCTTTGTAGGAAGAGATGTCCGGGTCAGTAGGAGGGACTGAAGAGTCTATTAAGACACTTAGACAGTAATCAGTGAGACAAGCTTCAAAGTCTTGACCAAGGAGGATGTTAGTGGACTTGAGGTTTCCATGGAATTTTGCAGATGATTGGTGGATGTAATGTAACGCTTGAGCTACATCTTCTGCTATCTTCAAACATGATGTCCAATGTAATGGCTTTGCCTTTGATGTTCTTGAACCTGGGATAAAACAGTAACTAGTTAAAATATGAGACCAAGAAGCTATTCGACTCAAGTCCTAAGACAAACACACCAAATTCCTGACAAGTGACTGGAGTTTCACGTGAAAATAGCACAGATATCTAACAGATTCCTCTGTCTTTTTATCTACAGTTGTTCAACTTGGAAAAAGACAAAAAAAAAAACATATTTTAATTATAAACTCCGCCATTGTCCCTATGTGGTTCAACTCTAGAGCTCCTTCAAATGTTAAAGCGGTCCAAAACCCAACAACGAGACATATCTACACACACAAAGGTCTCTAGCTGATTTATTGTAATGCAGATCAAGTGTCCTATACCTCAGTTTGATTAAAGACCAACATAATAATTGTTCAATTAGACCTAAGAGGTGACTCATTTAGTTCAAGTAAAACCCAACCAAGACAAGAAAAAAAAAAGAGATAGAGAAGATGATGAAGAAGATTAGTACCGTGAATAAGATTGAAGAGACTTCCATTAGGTTGGTAATCGTAGACGACAAGTCTCTCTCCATTAGACTGAATATAAGCTTTAACCGGAACAAGATTCGGATGCCTTAGTCCACCAACTATCTCCATATGATTCTCAAACTCTATATCACTAGTAACCAATGTTTTAGACGGAGCAAATCTCTTCACCGTCACGACCAGTTGATTAACCATCACCGCCTTGTACGTTGTCCCTACTGATCCTCTTCCCAAAAGCTCCGCCGAAGCTCTCATCAGCTGGTCAAGTGTGTACATGCCTTCTCCTCCTCCGTCGCCGCAGAATACCAAATCTCCATTTCTAGGGCTTCTCAGTTGCAGCGATGGGTCTTGGATTTGGATTTTGATTTCTTTGTTTTCTTCTTCACGTTTCTGAGATTTCAGCTTGAGCGGTTCTGTTACTGTTGACGGTTGCGTTATCATCACGTCATCGTCTTCGTCTCTCCGGTTCTTTATAACCAATGAGAACACGACGAGGCAGAGACCGAGAACTATCAAAGAAGCGAGACCAATGGTGAAACCAAGAACTAACCAACCACTTTTGCTCTTTCTAACCACCGGTGGATTACTCATCGTCGCTTCACCGTTCTGTTCGCTCTGACTAATCGGTGCTTGAGGCGAAGGAGTAGAAGATACGGATGATGATGATGATGACGTGGCGTTCGGTTTAGTTGAACCAAAGAACGGAGAAGAAGAACGTGAACCGCAAGACTTGTTAATGATCTCACCGCAGAGACCAGGGTTTGACGAGAACGAAGACGCGTTGAACCGTAACAGAGTCGTTGTGACCGGAACTAAACCGGTGAGACTGTTACCGGAAACGTTAAACGACGTCAGTGAAGAATGGTTTAACGGCGGGAGAGTTCCACTGAATCGATTAAACTCGAGATGTAAAGAACTGAGTCGACTCAGTGCATTGATCTCAGACGGAATCTCGCCGGAGAATCTGTTATACGAGAGATCGAGTTCAGCTAACCGACGAAGAGAGAGAATCGAACCGGAGATTGTACCGGAGAACTGGTTCTTGCTTAGGGTTAAGGATTTGAGATTGGTTAGATGAGATAGATCAGGGATCGAACCAGAGAGCGAGTTATTCTCAAGGCTAAGAACACGGAGCTGGTCAAGACGAGTGAGAGTCTCCGGTGAGAAACGTCCCCTGAGACCAACGCCGTCGAGAAGAAGACGAACGACGCGATCTTGAGAGCACTCGACGCCGCGCCATTGGCAGTAGTCGTAAGGCTCGGTGAGAGAGTAAAGAAGCTTGTTGTCGAGATCGGCGGTGGATTTGAATGAGAGAAGTGCGACGGCGTCGGATGGTAAGAAGGAGTCGAAGAAGTTCGTTTCCGGCGAAGGGTATGCGGCGGAGATACGGAGGAGGAGGAGGAAGAGAAGAGAGTAGAGTGTCATCTTGTGTGTGTTTTGTTTTACGGAGCAGAGCATCTCTGTGTCAGTTATATTATTCTGATGATAAGCTTTCTCTTTTTAATATGTAATCTTGTGGCACGCGTGTGTATGTGTATTTGTATGCGTTAAATAGGCCTTGGATGATTTTTTTAATAAAAAAATTGAATAATTTTTCTGTTTTCAAAAACAACTAAGCTAAATTAATTATATGTTGTAACTTGTAATCATCTTTTTATAAATATTTTCTTCCAGTATTCAAATGTTTATACGGTTATAAAAAAAATATGATAATATTGTAGTTGTGCTTTGTGGTTGTAAAAATCAGTTTTTTTTTTTTTGATAAACCCTATCGGCTGATCCGGTCAGCCCCGGTAGAAACGCACCGAAGTGCTTCAGAGTGGACTTCTCCCCGAAGGGCCAGCCCCGGTAAAAATCAGTTTGAGGGATTTTAAAAGTCATGAAAATATTTTAAAGGTCATGGAAATATTTTAGGGTTTATAATCTTTCATTTGAATAAGACTCGGTTTGATTGTTAAGAAGAATATGAAAATTAAATCATCGTACTCGAACTATATAATATTATGATATTCAATAAATGAACTCAATAATTGAATTTTATACGTAAACAAACCCCAAAGATTGGAAAACAATTAATCGGCTGTTAATGGTGTTTGAGAATCGTCCAACGTCCATGCATGTGTAACGTGTTAATATGATATGCTTTGTTGTTGTAGACAATAGACGTATAAGTAGACCATGACAAAATCAAAATATATATACATGAAAACGAGATTGAAGCATAGCTTGTTTTGCAAACTATACCTAACAAAATTGGATCGTAGTTGTATAATTTTTTGTATTGGTAGAAAGACAAGGACATCGTACGTTTCGTCCACATTCGTTCCTTTCTCAATACATTAGTATGAATATCATTATCTCCTAACCATCAGTTCATGGTACACTATAATCACGAATGTTTGAATTATTTTATGCGATTACATCTATAGGATGGGTCGCATTGGGCTTGTGTCACTTATACACAGATGTGAGGTGCTTGGGGAGTCTTTTAGACCTCAAAATTCTGAATAGGCCTAATCTTGTTTTTTGGTCAACACTCAACAGAATAGGTCCATTTATAATAGAGAAGCGCTTTAGTCCAAACTCCAATGGCAAACATAGGGTGGTGAAGAAGAATTGAAACGAAAATTACCAAAAAAGTGATTAAGAATAATTACACTAATTTTGGATTGATTTATCATGGCAATTGTTTGTTACTTGATATTATCTTAAACAAAGTTATTTGATCATTTATTAACTTAGAAAAATATATTAAAGTTTATAATGTGTATATTTATGTTTAAGCTATAATGTAAAAGTCTTTTTGATCCAGTAGTGAACAATTGTTTATATATTGCTTCCATACAAAATGTTTGCATATGATGAAATATAAGTATTTGTTCAAATAAGCCAGATTATGACTGACTTCATGTATATATATATTTGTATGAATTAATTCCATATATAAAATATTTTTCCATATAATGTAATATGTGATTCATGATATCTTTTTATTTTTTAAGTGAACTCTTTTTTTAGTTCCCCTGGAACTTGTAAGATATCTTTTTATTTTTTAAGTGAACTCAATATTGTCCCAATCCAATGGCGAGTCAAAGAAAACGAACTGATTAATTATTTATTTTTTAAACTCCATATTAAATTATTTTCATCTTTTATGTGCGTGTGTGTGTTGTGTACCTCGTTGTTTTGGGCTGTTTCCTTAAGAACTAAACCAAAGCAATAACGGACAGAGACTTTTGGTCTGTAATTAGATCTTGTGTCCCTCGCAATGACCAAAACTTTTACACTTATCACATATATGCATACAACCACCACCTCATACATCCTCATATATTTGATTACCCTTAGTTACAGAAGTTAATTCTGTTTTCACATAACAAGTAATATATTTTGTTTGATTTAAAATACGAAGTTATGAATTCAAGGAATAATACATACACTATTTGGAATTCAACTAGTTTATATTGAGTTACAATTCATAGCAAAAAAATAAAAATAAAACATTGAGCTACAATTAACTCCATAAATACTTTGCCAACGGAACGTAAATTAAGATATTTAAACTTCTAGAAACGTTAATAAAAATACATCACAATGTTTAATTCATTGCTCTAGTAGGTTAATACAAAAAAATTGCTTATAATTTACATTTCATGTGACAGCTCTATACTCACTTCCTTTTAAATCAACCCCATTTATTAATTCTTCCTCTGTGAACTCTTGTACAATCCTTCAATCATCTTCTTCCTCTGAAAATCTTCCGAAGAAGAGTACTGAGTAAACAATGAAGAACGGGAACACGAACACGAAGCTCATCCTTCTTCATCCTTACATCCAAAAACAAACGAGCACGACTCGTTTATGGCTTCTTGCTTTCATCTCTTTCTTCACCATCGTGTTCCTCCTCACTCTTCTCTACACTAGAGACACAATCCCTTCCAAAAACACCTCCGTTGCAGCCGCCGTAGCCGCCGTTGTAACCGGAGGATCATCATCATCATCATCATCATCATCAGCTCCTATCTCCAACACCAACTTACCAACGAGTGCAATCAACGCATTGCTTCATTACGCGTCAAGATCCAACGACAGTTTCCACATGTCTTACGGTGAGATGAAATCAATCTCCGACGTCCTCCGTCGTTGCGCTTCGCCGTGTAATCTCCTCGTCTTCGGCCTTACGCACGAGACTCTCCTATGGAAATCTTTAAACCACAACGGTCGAACAGTCTTCGTCGAGGAGAACCGTTACTACGCAGCTTACTTCGAAGAAATCCACCCGGAGATAGACGTTTTCGACGTTCAATACACGACGAAAGCTCACGAGGCCGGAGAGCTTGTCGCGGCGGCTAAAGAAGCGGCCGGAAACGAGTGTCGTCCGGTGCAAAATCTCCTCTTCTCGGACTGCAAACTTGGACTCAACGATTTGCCTAACCACGTCTACGATGTTGATTGGGATGTAATCTTTGTGGACGGGCCACGTGGCGACGCTCACGAAGGACCGGGGAGGATGTCGTCGATTTTCACGGCGGCGGTTCTTGCTCGGAGCAAAAAAGGCGGGAACCCGAAGACGCATGTGTTTGTGCATGATTATTACAGAGACGTCGAAAGGCTTTGTGGTGATGAGTTCTTGTGCCGTGAGAATCTTGTCGAGTCTAACGATTTGCTTGCGCACTACGTGTTGGATAAGATGGATAAAAACAGCACGCAGTTTTGCAGTGGTCGTAAGAAACGTTCGGTTTCTTCTATGTCTTAGAAGTAACGTGAGAAAATATGTCATACATTTGCTTATTATAAAAGATAAAAGTTTGTTTACCTTTGAAGGTTTGCTTTTAATTTGTGTTGGTGTTATATTTTTCGATCTTGGATCTGCTGAAGACTTTAATTTAATCAAAAAATTTCAAACCGAAAATATTAATAATTTGATAGCAATCAATTCGATTCTATTTCGATAGAAAATTGTTAAAACCGAATATCCGAAAAACTTTTAATTCTAGTACAAAAACGAGCAATCCAAAATTTTGGGATCTATTGAGAGGAATCTTAATTAAATGTATTCTTTTGTATCAAGAATCTTGATTAGTATATAAAACCAAAGTACATTACCTGTGTTTTTCTCGCATTTAACCTCGATATCACTTGAAGAGGTTTAGTTCTTTCACTATCTCTGTCTGTCTCTCATTGTTGCACTCTCTCTCTCTACAACTCTTACACACTCAATACCTACTAGCCACTCAATACGTATACTCTTGTAACTCAAGTTCCCCTTTCTCGACATTTAATCCACCCCTTAAGCTACTACACACAAACATAGTTTAGCTAGTTGAGCCCCATAATTCTGTAGGCCCATTAATCTTTATTACCAAAACAGCAAACCCAACTTCTTCTTCCTTGTTAACTTGTTCTGTTCTTTGTCGTTGACCTTTCTTCACGACAACTTCATCTTCTCCTCTTTTCATCATCTTTTCATGAATTTTCCTTTGTTGCAGATTTGACTCAAACTCCAACAGTATCTTAGTGTAGTCTAAAAATAGCGAGTTCATCCAAATTAGGAAAGCCTGAAAAGCCACGCAAGTTTTTTTTTTTTTTTTTTTTTTTGATTTGTTGTTAAAATTGAGATAGATCCTCGTTTGGATCGAGAATTAAAGAACAAGAATCTTGAAAGCCGCCACACACAGTATATCCAGATAAGATTCTCAAGGACAGAGAGAAATGGCGACGGACTTCAAGTCTTTACCAGTCATCGGTACTAACGAAACCCTAAATTTCATCGTTTGTTTACTCTGTTCAAGCTTCATATCAAATTCGATGATGACGATACTGCAGACATATCTCCTCTATTGGCCAAGTGTGATGATCCCGACATGGCAGAGGATGCTGGCGTGGCTAAGGTTGTCCGGCAACTTGATAGAGCTTGTCGTGACGCCGGGTTCTTCTACGTGGTACAGAATTGAGTTTAGTTTCTTAGCTTTGTGATCGAAATTGAGTTCCTTTTTTCGAGGGTTTGAATAAAGATCTGATTTTTGAGCAGATAGGCCATGGGATTTCAGAGGATCTTATCAATAAAGTCAGAGAGATCACTCGTGAGTTCTTTAAGCTTCCTTATGAAGAGAAACTTAAGATCAAAATGACTCCAGCTGCTGGATACAGGTGACTCCAGCTGTGTGAACAAAAATCTTTCCCAAAGATCGAACAATTTAAGATCGTTTCATTGATGTTCTGTTGTGAACAGAGGATACCAGAGAATTGGAGAAAATGTAACCAAGGGCATACCAGATATACACGAAGCGATCGATGTAAGTGCTGTTTGTATCCTTTCAGAATTTAGTAATGTTTCTATGTGATTCTTATTCTCTTATGGACAGTGTTACAAAGAGTTAAAGCAAGGGGAGTATGGAGATACAGGAAAGGTTATGGAAGGTCCAAACCAGTGGTAATCTATATTCTATTTCTTATCTGATTATGTTTTGCTTCGTCTAGCTTCTGACCATTTCTCTCATGTTTTGTGGTGTAAACATGAAAGGCCAGAGAATCCTCAAGAGTTTAAGGAGTTGATGGAAGAGTATATTAAGCTATGTATAGGTTTGTTTTACCATTTCTCTTTTTCTTATATATGTGTTATGTTTCCATGAGTGTTTCTCAGAAACATTCTTAGTTTGAAATTTCATTTCTTGGTTTAAGATCTTTCTAGAAAGATCTTGAGGGGCATCTCCTTAGCCCTTGGTGGATCACCTTATGAGTTTGAAGGAAAGATGGCTGGTGATCCTTTTTGGGTGATGCGTCTTATTGGCTATCCAGGTGCTCCTTTCACAAATGGCAAACCTGAAAATGATATCGGATGGTAACGTTCTGCTACTTCTCCTTCTGTTTACCACCATTTCTTTTTGGCGCTTATCAGCTCAGAGTAACTCACATTTTCTGACTTGTTGCTGCTCACCACGCTCTGGTTCTAGTGGAGCTCACACTGACTATGGTAATTAAGTTTAACCCTGAAGTGATATCGTCATGTTAATTTTTCTGATTCTGTCTTCATCGTTTGTCTCAATGGGGAACACAATTCTCTGCAGGCTTGTTGACTCTTGTGAATCAAGATGATGACAAAACTGCTCTTCAGGTTAATATTTTTTATGATGATCCTTCTTTGGTTTAATGTTTATGTGAATAAGTGGTCTTGGCTCTATATAAGAGATTTTTCATTATGAAAAGGTGAGAAATTTGAGTGGCGACTGGATATCAGCCGTTCCCATCCCCGGATCATTTGTATGCAACATCGGCGACATGTTAAAGGTTTGTTCTTCCCACTTTCTTTCAGTTCTCTTTCTTGAATACCCTTTTGAGAGTTCTTTTTGGGAATCATATGTGCAGATACTTACAAACGGAGTTTACGAATCCACACTTCATAGAGTGATCAATAACTCTCCTCAATACCGTGTCTGTGTCGCATTCTTCTACGAGGTTGTTAACTATTACCACTCTTGTGTGTTTTCCACATTTGGATTTGGAATCATGTTTCTAATTCTCTTGAATGAACAGACTAACTTCGACGCGGTGGTGGAGCCATTGGATATATGTAAACAGAAGTACCCTGCAGGGAGAGAAGGAACCCAAGTTTTCAAAAAAGCTGTCTATGGAGAGCATCTGGTAAGCAAAGTCCAGACAAACTTTGCTATGTAATGGAAGATAGATCTTCTCAGCTTCTTTGTACATAATCCACCAACTTTAGCTTCATGTTTGAATTGTAATATTCACTCTTTGTCATCAAATCAATCGATACACATGCTGATCTGTTCAAAAAATAAAATATGTTGGATATAGTGGTATAAACAACAAAATTTATTTCAGTCTTTTTCTATAATACTTTTGTAACTTCAAAAATAAGCAACACACATGGCCAAATCAGAGCTTTGCACATTAGTTACAGCGTTGCTTTGACATTTCAAAAGCTCCAACTAGCAAAAACAATGGTTTTAGTTAATGTTCATATTGATGGTCAACCAATTTTCATCAGCAACGACATATTATAGTTGCAACTTAGTTTTAGACAATGCTACAAGATTAGTATACATACACTTACCATATTTTTTTATCTTGGGAGATATGGACTTTTTAAGGGGAATATTTTGATCTAGTATAACAAGAATTTATCAGTTACTTGTGAATTGAAGTTTAGGCCTTTTCAGTCTCAATTGTTAAAATACAAGTATTATACAATCATTTATGATGAGAGTCATTTTATAAGAATGTAGTCTTTTATAAGTGTTTTATAGTAATTTTTCTTTCCAAGAAAAAAGATGGCCAGAGTGTTGCTTAAAATCGTTGACAAAAAAAGATTTGTCACTATTTATACCAATAACGTCGTTGGTTCAGCTAAGTATTTATTACTCGCCTCTAGGAAAAGCTTTCAACCAACAAAATGGAAAAGCTTCCACCACCTCCACCACCACCGCCAATACCACGAAGTAGAGGACTACGACAACAACCACAACAAGTGCCACCATCGCTGCCACCCCCGCCACCGCCCCCACCCGAATAACTACGAACGTTTCTACGAGTAGGACGAAAACGACAGCGACAGTCACTACCACCATCATTGCCGCCACCGCTACTTGCACCACTGCCACGACAATCACGAGCGATTCCTTGGCTTACTAGCCATGATGTCAAAAAAGGAAAATCATACGAGAAGTTGAGAATATACCTCGATAAAGTCATAAAACAAAACCAAGAATCCGAATTGGCTAATCAAGATCCAAAACTCGTTGTTTTACCCAAAAGTGTCGGTCCCTTTCAAGAACAAAACATGCAGAACCACCAACACACTCGTTCCGAACCTGGAGTAAAGGAGACGACCGAAGGGAGTGGGAGCGGAGCCACACGACATGATTGGGTGATAACGATAAAAGACAAGCTCGAGCAAGCAAATAGAGACGATGACATGAACAGCCGAAGCAACGTCTGTATATACAAAGTTCCACCTCACCTGCTGCATGGAAACGACAAGAAGTCGTATTTCCCTCGGACGGTCTCGCTTGGTCCGTACCACCATGGGAGAGAGCAAACGGAGTCCATGGAATGCCACAAATGGCGTGCCCTCAACATGGTCTTGAAACGTACGAACCAAGGCATTGAAGTGTTTATCGATGCCATGGCAGAGCTCGAGAAAAAGGCTCGTGCTTGCTACGAAGGTCTTATTGTTTTGGACAGTAACGCGTTCACAGAAATGCTTGTTCTTGATGGTTGTTTCGTTCTCGAGCTTCTCCAAGGAGTCGCTGAAGGATTCTTGAAACTCGGGTTAGCATGATACTATTTTCTTGTTTTTGTTAGGTTATCTTGCTAATCCGGTAAGGATTCAAATCGGGTTATCTAAAATAATTATTATATATTTTTGGTGTTAAATGTAGATATGATTCTTACGATCCAGTTTTCGCGGTTCGTGGATCGATGCATTCGATTCAACGTGACATGATCATGCTGGAAAATCAATTTCCTTGGTTCGTACTCCAACGGTTATTAGAGCTACAGCCTGGTACACATAACCAAACTGGTTTAGTGGGATTAGTGGTTCGGTTCTTCATTCCACTAATGCCAACGGCTGAGACATTGGCCGAGACGCCACCTAGAGGCGTATCCAACGGCGAACTACACTGTCTTGATGTTTTCCATCGAAGTCTTCTCTTCCCAAGGTCATCAGGCAAAGCAAATATATCGAGAGTGGCTGACAAACACCTACAACGTGTGATACCTACCGTGACCGAACTAAGGGATGCTGGTTTTAAGTTCAAGCTAAATAAAACCGATCGGTTTTGGGATATTAAATTCAACAACGGTTATCTAGAGATACCCAGTCTACTTATCCATGACGGTAAAATTAACATATTTTACCATTCTAATTATTTCATGACCTCTTTTATTTGATTGCACTCCAACATGATTTTGTTTAAGGCATAAATACTAACATCTTGTTTGTCAAGAACATACGTTACATAAATTAAAATATTGATGATCATTATATAAATGTCTTGGTCAAACAAACTTTTATGTCATACTAGCAGTTGACCCGCGCTCCGCGCGGGAGATTTATAATTTAGTTTTGTTGAATTTTTATTCATATTGTGATATTTTATTATTTTTAATTGATTTTCAAAAAATATTATAATTATTTTCTCTTTAATTATTATCTTTCAATACTCAAATTTGGATTAAAAGCATTTGATTCAAGAGAATTTTTGAGAAATACCCCTTTTGGTCTATTACGAATTTTTTTTCTTCTTTTTGATCATGTTATAAACTAATATTTCACTTTCATTTTAGCAGTTGACCCGCGCTCCGGCGCGAGAGGTTTATAATTTTGTTTTTTACTTTCATTCTAAAACTCAGTAACATATTTAAAATATTAAATTATGATTAATTTAAAATGAAAGTTGAATTATATTATTACCACTAATAAAAAAATAAAAGTATTGTTTTTTTTATTTTAACATTTCATTTTTTTTACATAATTTATTTTTATTTATATAAACTTTACATTAATTAAATAAGTAACATAAATATGCACTAAATGAATGTTTTAAATTTATTTTAATGTTTAAACAAAAATGTGGCTTAAGTGGATGCTTAGGTGGCATCATGAGAAGAGAGAAAAAGCTAACTTTATATATATAGATTTTAAACATTCACTAAAAACTATAATCTATTATTTATATATTTTTTAGTATAATCGATAATTAGTAAGTTTTTTTAACTTTTAAACAAATCATCTTTTTAGTTTTATAATGTATAATAATAATAAAAACCTTTCATATTCCTTTTTGAAAAACTAATTTACATAGGTTTAAATCTTAAAATTAAATGATAAAATGATATAATTAATTTTAAAAATTAAATAATAAAATGAGGTGGATGATGATGTGGCATAAGGAGAAGAGAGAAAAAGTTAACTTTATATATATAGATATATTGGTTTAGTGTCGCTTATCTTCAAATATCAAGTGGGCCGTGACTAGAGGATAGAAGATAATTCTGTTGACATATTTAGAAAGCAACACCAATCAAAATATATCTAATGAAACGAAACAGTAATTTATTTATTTTTCCTTTTCTTGAGTCCGGTTAGTTTTCAAACTTACAATTCTACGTATCCATTTTTATGTAGGTACCAAATCTCTCTTTTTGAACCTCATAGCTTTTGAGCAATGCCATAACGACTCAAGCAATGATATAACATCCTACATAATTTTTATGGACAATCTAGTAGATTCTCCGGAAGATATTAGTTATTTGCATCGCCGCGGTATTATCGAGCATTCGCTAGGAAGTAATTCTGAAGTTGCGGATATGTTCAACCAATTATGTCAGGAAGTGGTTTTCGACACCAAAGATATTTATCTATCTCAACTGTTGATTGAGGTTCATCGTTGCTATAAACAACACTACTCGAGGAAGTTGACTTCTTTGAAGACAACCTTGAAACACAAGTACTTAGATAACCCTTGGGCATATTTGTCTTTCTTTGCTGCAGTTATTCTACTTATTCTTACATTTTCTCAAAGTTATTTTGCTGCTTATGATTATTATCATCCATCCTCTTAGTCTTCGTTACTATTCTGTTGTTTTTTTCCCCATTCCCTTTGTAGTTTGTAATATAATGCTTGGTTTTGCGACAGTTTGTATCTTCATCTTATCAAAATAAATTTTTATATTTGTGATTATGTGCTTCCGACACTTGTTTATGAAAGTAAGAGCTAAAACCACTGATCTTTCTTTAATTTCTTGATGGACCAAGGCTTTGACATCCTTTACATTTTCTTCCGGTCAAAATAAAAAAATTTACATTGTATCACTTGGGAATTGGGATGTCTTTATTTATTTGTTTTCATAATTGGTTCATTTAGCTCATTGAAAAGAACTTGTTAATTTTGTTAACCAGTCCTTGTTAATGAGACATTGGTTTATCTTGTAAGTACTAAAAGTATTCAACGTTTATTTAATTTGGATTTGTAAGGGCCAATTCTAATCTAATCTCTAACCTACTATCCCTTTACATCTTCTAAAAAACACTAAACATCATGTCTCAAAATAAAGGTCCGCAACCGTCATATGGAAAATCACTTCCCTTGAAAACTACTCACATTGGTTCTGTCTTTGCTCTAGCTTCACCAACTAGCTTGGGTTTTGGTTTCATTTTCATAACTGATAAGCAAGGATGGTGTTGTCTTCTACTTACATACAGTAGATGTCAATAATAGTATCGAGGAGAAATAATCAATTGTTGAATCTTCTCGTCATTTTTAATTTTCTTTCTTATAGATATAAATACATAGAAAAAGGCAGTACTGTGTATATCTGATAGGTATATGAGTTTTTTTTTGTTCGTTGTTGTAATTTCACTCGATAAATACATATGTACTACAAGAGTCAAGAGTACACATGGTCTTGTTTTTAAAGAGAGTATGGGTGGTTGAATCTCACTCGTTTACTCAAAATATATAAAACTACGACAAGCATTTATTAAAGTCTTTTTATAAGAGCTTTTATTAGAGTCTTTTTATAAGAGCTTTGCGGAATCCACAATAACCAAACACATGGCTAGGCCTGGGCATTTGGGTATTCGGGTCGGGTTCGGGTCGGGTTTTTCGGGTTCGGGTATTTCGGGGTTAGTAATATAGGAACCTAATAGGTATTTATAAAACTTCGGGTCGGGTTCGGTTCGGTTCTTTTTCGGGTACAGATACTTCGGGTAATGATTTAAGAGATCCGAAAATTATCCAAAATATATTTGGGTATGATTAGTACCTACCAAAATCCGACCCGAAATTATCCAAAGTACTCATAAATCCGAAACTATTCGTCAAAACTAACAAATTTTTGAAAGAATATATTACTAGTAAACAAATTTAACCAAGTTTTGAACATTCCAAAGATTAAAATCAAACAAGTCACTGAAAAAATAAGAAACCAAACTAACAAAAGCATAACTTAAAATCTTAAACTAATGAAAGTGATTATGAAAATATTTGAGTTGATAAGTACATCATGACCTGTTACATAAAACTAAACCTTTTAAAAACTAAAAACAGTTTTAAACAATTTTTAAAAACAATAACAGAGATGAAGTTGCCTCAGTAACTTAAACTCATCAATGAACTTCTTTACAGGTAAGAAAACTTAATATTACATACATGTGTTCGAGTACTTAAAAGTACCTACTGGTATGCGGGTTCGGTTCGGGTAAATACCCGATACTTATTGGGTATTGAGAATAAAAACCGATCGGGTATTTCTTAAGAACCAAAGTAAAACGGGTTCGGTTCGGGTATTCGGGTTCGGATATTTTGCCCAGGCCCTCCAAATCACAGTTGAATTAGTTACACCAATGTAGTTGACATTTCACCATTATGTTCTCGCTCTCAGTGTCTGGAAAAGACTTCAACCAGCAAAACAATATATGGTTTTTGTAATAGTTAACGTACAAACTTAAATTTGACCAATAATTCCCTGCGGCCCGAGTCTGCTTCGCATAGGTCTGACTATAAATAAAATTTCAAATACTGTACTTGGAAAAAAGTGGTCTTAATACTATTAGACTATCTAATTTTGAATTTAAATCCCAACCATGTTCCATACAATAACCTAGTCTATTTATAAGAGTACAAAGTATTTTATTTTCTTAAATAAGAGTTTGGATCTTTCAATATCTCACTCCATGAAATGTATTATATCACAAGACTTTTGGTCTTTTTATAAGATTTGTAGACGAAAAGTCAAACATAACATGGCCCGCCGAGGCATTTTAAAGATTGTTTAACACAGTTTAGTGTACAAGTATGATTAGATATTTAACTTATTAACGTGTGTATCCAGTGCGCAAGACGTAATGCATTAGTAATTACGGCCGTAGTCCATTACTGATTTAACAAGTCCATAAATATAACTATGCTAATCACAGCTTCGACTCAGTTGTTACATCTTTGCTTTTGACATTTTCTCTCTCAACCTCAAATATCCTAAAAAAAGCTTCAACAAACATAAATGCAAAATCTTATTCGGCCACCACGGCCACCACCACTACCACCACCACTACCACCGTTGGGGCCCAATTTTCCTATAGGGAACTATATCTTAGAGAGAAGAAATCGTAGAAGATACAAAGAGAGGCTGATCTATAAAGAGAGGCTGATGTGGTACTTGATCACCCTCGTGATGCGCCTAGAACTCCAAACCCGAAACCAGAAACCCAAAGACGAATGGGTAATCGTGATCGAAGAAAAGATGGAGCAAGTACTTAGAGAAGACGCCATAACTAGCTGGGATAAACACTGTATCTATATAGTTCCACACAATCTTAAACAGAACGACAGGAATTCCTATTTTCCTGAAACTGTCTCGCTCGGTCCGTACCACCATGGCAATCGACATCTCCGCCCCATGGACCATCACAAATGGCGGGCGGTAAATATGGTCATGAAACGTAACGAACAAGGGATCGATATGTATATTAACGCCATGAAAGAGCTAGAAATGAGGGCTCGTGCTTGCTACGAAGGTCCCATAAATTTGAACAGTAAAGAATTTATCAAAATGCTTATTCTTGATGGTTGTTTTGTTCTCGAGCTATTCAGAGGGGCCTATAAAGAAAATGGATTCTTGGAACTCGGGTAAGCATGATTCAGTTCTATGCTCAACTTCTCATTTCAGTTATCCTGTTGCCAAAACTGTTGACTTTGATTTTTTTGTGTGTGTGTGTGTGTGTGTGTGTGTATAGATATGATCGAAAGGATCCCGTTTTCGCTATGCGAGCATCAATGCATTCGATACAACGCGACATGGTTTTGCTGGAAAACCAACTTCCGTTGTTTGTTCTAAACCGGTTATTAGAGCTACAGCTCGGATCACGGAACCAAACCGGTTTAGTGGCACACTTAGCAGTTCGGTTCTTTGATCCACTAATGCCAACAGACGAACCGTTGACCAAAACCGACCAGTTAAATCTCGAGTACTCGTTGGCTACAGATAAAGCCTTTGACCCATTCGTCATGAACTCACTTGGCGACAAGAGCGGGTTGCATTGTCTGGATGCATTCCGTCGAAGCCTGCTTCAGTCTACGAAAACAGAACGGAGCTTACCACAAAAGAGAGTGTACGGGGGATTGCGCGTGGTGGACAAGCGCAAAAAACAAATGATACACTGCGTCACTAAACTAAGGGATGGCGGTATTAAGTTCAGGAAGAGGCAAAGCGACCGGTTTTGGGATATTCATTTCACGAATGGTTATCTTGAGATTCCCAAACTTTTTATCCACGATGGTAAGTTATATGTTACCTTTCAAATCTTAATTTTTTTTTAACACATATTTCTTGCTTATATTGATTGTTAACAAATAGTATTAGACCATGACTTTTTTAGATGAAGGATGGGTTACAAATTTGGTTTGATTCAAGATCGTGAGAACAAGAGTTTAACTTTTTTTTTGTTAGTTCTTTTAAATTATTTCAAAAAAGGATGCATATAATGTACGTACCAAAGTCTTTTCTTGGGTTGAATATAATTTAACATTCATTAAAAAGTATTAGACCATGACTCATAAATGTGATATTTAATTAGCTCTATAAGTTGGCATTTTCAGTTATCTTCTTGTACTTCTTACATGATATAATCTGCATTCATATAGGATTTGAATCACCAGGCTATAACTTACATGTTTAGGACCTTGGTCAAATAATGAAATACATAGATTGGTTTAGTGTTCCTTATCAAATATCATGTTGGCAGAAGGACATGATAAAGGTCATCAATGTACAATTGTCTATTGACTAGTTTATAAATAGGATAGTAATTGACTAATTATATATAGATTAAGACAATGAAAAAAATGCACTTCTTTTTCCAAATCTATCAATTCAGAAACTTGAAGTTGGCTACACCACCCCTTCTCGTGTGTTTTGTAGGTACCAAGTCTCTCTTCCTGAATCTTATAGCTTTCGAACAAAACCATATCGACTCGAGCAATGACATAACATCTTACATAGTTTTCATGGACAATCTAATAGATTCTCCGGAAGATGTTGGCCACTTGCGTGACTGTGGTATCATCGAACACTGGTTAGAGAGCGACTCTGAAGTTGCCGATTTGTTCAACCGGATAGGTCAAGATACAATTTTTGACATCAGTAGGGATAGTCATTTATTTGGACTGTCGAATGCGGCTAAGCGTTATTATCTTCACAATAATAAGTACTACAGGAAGTGGAATGCTTGGAAGAAGACCTTGAAACAGAAGTACTTCGATAGCCCTTGGGGATATATCTCTTTCTTTGCTGCACTTTTCCTCTTAATTCTTACGTCGTCTCAAAGTTATTTTGCTGCTTATTCTTATTATAGGCCACCTTCTTAATCTTCGTTACTATTATGTTGGCTTCTTTTTTTTTTCGTTCAAATTACAATGCTTGTATTGCCTCAAATTAAAGTTTTGTTCGTCATTTTGTATTTCCATTTATGTGAAAATAAAATATCTAAATCTATTAATCTAGTGCGGGGTGATAGGACTCGAAGACGTCTTAAAATATTTGAATGTAAGAGGATCATCTTTTCCATGATGATTGGCAGTTCTCAAAAGCAAGTAGAAAAAATAAACGATAAATAAATTTCGACAAAAATAGTTTGACGCTAGAAAGAAGGGAGCATTGAGCTAATAATATACCACGGGGATTGTCACCAAACGAGGATTCCACTCGGACGTCCTCGGAATAAAAATTCTTCATTTTTGTTAGCTTCTGCCAACTTCTTGATTGAATATCACCTGGAAAGCCTCGTCTTGACATACACCATAATGGCTAGCATTCGACACTATATATCAAATATATGACAAATACACAATTATTATGTGAGGGCCAAACCAATCAAGATAGTATGATCAATACCATGATCACTTTGACTTATCTTGACCAACTTTCTCTGGTAACGTATGTTCTCTAGAATTTCTCTAGTTTCACCAAAGCTACGATCTATCCATCTTCATCTATGTAGTCGATGAGAAAAGTTGACAAATATCAATCCCATTTACCTAGAGACCCAGTAACCCGCTATCCAAATCTACAAGTATATTTTCAATCTTGTTAAAAACCCCACATGGCCACATCATGAATTGAATTCTAAAGATCTTTTATAAAATGAGTCCAAAATTTCACTCATTTAATATATACTAGATTTGGACCCGCACATACGTGAGGGATTGATTTCAAAAACTAAATTTGCTATCATGTTTGCAATATATCATGTATATGCAGAATTATATTTGTAAAAGAAATGTTTTAAGAATGTTATTAACATTGATAATCCAAACTCGTACCAGTTCAGTATTTGATTTGTTTTCAATTTATTTTAAACAAAAATAACGATAGGATTTGGTTTTGTTACCCGAAAAAACAACTATATCAAAAATATATATAGTAAAAGAAAAGTGGTTGTCTATTTTAGGGCTGAGACCCTATCTTGTATCGTCTCGTCGTAGATATGTCATGTTTTTTCATCTCATTACCATGATTTTAATAATAATTTAACTATTGCAATTGTATATTTTAGTCTAATATATATATAAATAGGTCAACATTTTAGATTCACAATTATGCGTGGAGTTTTATTTGTACGTATATCTATTTGAAACAACATTTATAGCATAAACTTATATTGGTTTCCTTTCATAAAGTTGGTGAATGTTTGAAATAATAATTGCTTCATATTAAATTATAATAATGTGAATCTTATTTTAATATAAAATAATTTAAAATATGAAATTTGAAATAAGATTGCTCCATAATTTAGAATAAGAACTAAAAGTGGTTGGATTCAATTTGAGAAGATTGCTACATAATTTAGAAGTTTACATTAGTTATTTTTGGAATTTAAAATAAGATAATAAGTATGTATTAAACTTCAAAATTTTAGGGGGAATTTCAAAAATACCCATTTTCCAATACCACTTTTTAAAAATACCCCTCTTTCTAATTTTATCAAAAAATCACTATATATAAATTTTGAAATTTATTAAAAAACTATGTGTAAGCTTATATTTAAAGACACAAATTATCTTTATATGTGTGTAAATTTACATATATATTTCATAATTACCGTATAAATACATTTTAAAAATCATTTAAAAACTTTATAAAAACCTTGTAAACCTTTTAAAAACCTTATAAATGCCGTTAACAACCTTTTAAAACCTTATAAATATTTGGATTTAGGCTCCCAGTAGTAATGATGATCTTGATGTATTTTATCAACCATATAAAAGTTTATAATTTTTTTATATTTGAAAAGGGGTATTTTTGAAAATGGATAGAAAGATGAGTATTTTTAAAAGGGGTAGACCAAAAGGGGTATTTCTCAAAAATTCTCAAATTTTTATGAGCTATATTTCGTAAAAATTAATGGGGATTTTCAAACCTATATTTTGGTAATAATAGATATTTTTTTAATTTGAAGATTTTTTAGCTATTTTTTAGGATTCTTGATTTTAGGTATTAATGATTTTTTTCAAAAGATATAATGTTTCCTTAAATTATGGATTCTTTTTTAATTACCAAACTATTCTTATTCTTGTTTATTGTTATAACTAATGCATATACTCTATACCTTTTAATTGTATACTCTATGCTCACTTTATTGAAGCGGGTTAACACGACTGCTATTCATACTCCGCAATATATTAAAATATGTTTAACTTACAATATATACATTTCGCGTGATCCACATTAGTAAATGGTATATTTGCATATGTTCTGTTTGAATTCATGTATTACACTAAATTTCCGACCTCTACTTTAAAATTATCATCTAAAGTAGATATTTACGCGTTCAAAAGTTAGCGCATATTCAAATAAAAATTCTGAGATTCGAATATAGATAAAAAAAAACTATTTAGATTGTTATACCAAATTTATATCTCATACATTTTATTAGGAATCATTTGGAAATATTTTTCCGTTCCCATTTCACATTCACCATTTCCCGTTCAAATATATGCAGGGTAATGTTCGTAATGATTCATACTCTTACATACTTGCTGAGTTATATTTTTAGATATAATTATTTGATATATTATTTATCTATATTAACATTTTTAAAGCAGTTTTTGAAATGTGTCCTAGACTTTCAAACTATTTACAAAATTGTTGAGATAATATTGATATTATGAAATTTTAATAATTATTAATTAAACTCTAACAAAATCTATAAATTCTAAATAAAAATTAAAAATACGTTTGCCCCACGGCGTACTGCGGCTTAAATTTTGTATATTGGAAAACGGGTTAAAACTGATAAATATTGTTATGCAAAATACATATAGAAGCAATTATTGCAAATTTTATTTATTTTTAAAATAATATTTATAAACGGGCTGTATGAAAGGACGGGTTTGAATCGTATTATTAAAAATATTAAAATATCATTAATTTTATACTTCAAAATGTGTTAAAACTTAGTTGTACTATTTTTTTACAAAACTAATATACGACATCTCGAAACAAACTGATTTTTAAACAAATTCCAACAAAACTTAAAATATTAAATTAAAAAATAAGACATACAAAAGTTTACTTATAACGAAGTAAATATTGATAGTATTTAATCTTTTAAACGTTTATTTACCTAATCTAAACTTAGTTTATCAATTTTAAATACTATAAATATCAATTTATTATAAACATTTTAAAAAATAAATTATTTTAATATTTTAAAATATAGTGGTTTAAATTAGGTAAAATATATTTAAAAAATCTAAAATATCTTTACAAATACACAATTTTGAATTTAATAGGCCACATATTATGGTAACGAATTTATTATGATTTACATGAATATTAGTTACTTATTAGTTTTGATTTTTTTTTAATATTTTAAAGCATATTAATTTCCTTTGAAAATATATTTTGCTGTCTTACACGTATTTGAAAATTTTAATATATAATATAATAATGCTTAAACTTTTAGATTTTTAATTAGGTATGCTAATATTTTAAACTTTACATGTAATTTAAAAATTTAAATATTCATAATATTTTAAAACCTTTTAAAGGAGTAAACCTTTTATAGGAGTAAATTTTATTTACCTAATCTAAACTTAGTATATCAATTTAAACACTATAAATATCAATTTATTTTAAACGTTTCAGAAAATAAAAATTAGAATATTTTGAAATATATTGGTTTAAATTTGGTAAAATATATTTAAAAAATCTAAAATATGTTTAGAAATACACAATTTCGAATTTAATAGGCCACATTTTATGGTAACAAATTTATTATGGTTTCAATGAATATTGGTTAGTTATTAGTTTTGATTTTTTATTTATTTTAAAACATATTTTTCCATTTGAAAATCTGTCATTAATTCTGTTTGGATATAAGTTTAGATTACATTTTATTTCATTTTTTTTTATTTAATCTGTTTGGATACACCTATAAAAAATGTTTCCCTTTTAATAGTATAGATAGGTGTTATACTTCTATTATACTACAAGCAATATTTATGAGTCTTTTAGTACGTAGTATGATTTATAGACTCTTTATTTTATTATGAGTGGTTGGGTATTACAATTTCATTTATGATTTGTAGAAAATACTATACAGCCATTTATGGGGAGACTTTTGATAAGCACACGAAGTCTTTTTATAAGACTTTCGTAGATTGAGATATAAGCAAACCCTAGCTATGGCCAAAAACACAACTCTAAATTTGTTACAGCATTGTAAATTATACATTTTGCAATCACAGCTCTCGCTCTCAATCTCCTGAAAAGATTTCAACCAGCAAAAACAATGGTTTTAGTCAATGTTCATTCAGATGGACAACCACTTTTCATCAACAAAGACATGTTGACCTGGTGTTTGCTCAGCATCAAGCTCCGCCAAAAATTTCAAACCACAAACAAACACTCGGAACCGGTTCAAGATCAGAATCTCCATGATTTACCCGAAATTACCAGACCGGATCAAGAAGAACAAAACTTGCTGAACAACAAACAGGCTCATTCCGAGTCCGGTAAGGAGGTGATAGAAGAGAAGCGAGGAGAGACCACGGGAGACAGTTGGGTGATCTCAATAAGAGACAAACTCGACCAAGCACATAGAGACGACGACACAACAATTTGGGGAAAGCTATGCATCTACAGAGTTCCACATTACCTGCAAGAGAACGACAAGAAGTCCTATTTCCCTCAGACCGTTTCTATTGGTCCGTACCACCATGGTAAAAAGCGTCTCCGGCCAATGGAGCGCCACAAGTGGCGTGCGGTCAATAAGGTCCTAAAACGTTTGAAGCACCGCATCGAAATGTATACTAATGCCATGAGAGAGCTTGAAGAGAAGCTAAGGCTCGTGCTTGCTACGAAGGTCCCATTAGTTTGAGCAGTAATGAGTTCACAGAAATGCTTGTTCTTGATGGATGTTTTGTTCTCGAGCTCTTCAGGGGAACCGTTGAAGGGTTTCACGAAATCGGGTAAGCATGAATCAATTTTCTTGTTTTCTTCCGGTTATCTAAATCTACTTTCTAAACCGGTCTTATTTGGGATCAATATTTAGTAGCTGAATTTATTTTTTCGTCCTGAGTTAGATATGCACGTAACGACCCGGTTTTCGCGATGCGAGGATTGATGCATTCGATTCAACGTGACATGATAATGCTGGAAAATCAACTACCTCTGTTTGTCCTCGACCGGTTATTAGAGTTACAACTAGGCACACAGAACCAAACCGGTATAGTTGCACATGTAGCCGTTAAGTTCTTTGACCCGCTAATGCCAACGGGTGAGGCGTTCACCAAACCGGACCAGGCAAAGCTCATGAACTGGCTGGAAAAACACTTGGACACACTTGGTGACAAGGGAGAGTTGCACTGTCTGGATGTATTTCGTCGAAGTCTACTCCAGTCTAGTCCTACACCGAATACAAAATCTCTACTATAGAGATTAACCGGGAACACACGAGTGGTGGACAAGAGACAACAACAGCTGGTACATTGCGTGACAGAACTAAGGGAAGCTGGTGTTAAGTTTAGGAAAAGGAAGACTGACCGGTTTTGGGATATTGAATTCAAAAGTGGTTATCTAGAAATACCCAAACTACTAATCCATGATGGTACGTTTATAACATTTTCTTTTATTTCTTACTTTTTGTTCCTTAACCTATAGAAACTTTCAAATCCACTATCATATTTTTTTCATGGTAGGTACCAAGTCGCTCTTCTCAAATCTTATAGCATTTGAGCAGTGCCATATCGAATCGAGCAACCACATAACATCCTACATAATATTCATGGATAATCTAATAAACTCTGACGAGGATGTTAGCTATTTGCACTATTGTGGTATCATCGAGCATTGGCTTGGGAGTGATTCTGAAGTTGCGGATTTGTTCAACCGGCTATGTCAAGAAGTGGTTTTCAATCCCAAAGATAGTCATCTCTCTCGACTATCTGGTGATGTAAACCGGTATTACCATCGTAAGTGGAATGTTTTGAAGGCTACCTTGACACACAAGTACTTCAATAATCCTTGGGCATATTTTTCTTTTTCTGCTGCAGTTATATTGTTACTTCTCACATTATGCCAGAGTTTCTATGCTGTTTATGCTTATTATAAGCCAAATTCTAAACTTTAGTTGTTTTTATTTTCCTTTCCGTTTGAGCTATTTGTATTTTCTTGTTTTCCAACATTTTCCATTTTCTTCTATCCCAAATTTGGCTCTGTAATAATTGGGTTTTGGAATAATTATGTTCTTGCAAAGCATACTAATAATAGGATATGGTTTTATTAGGGATGTTAAACGACTCAGAATAGTCAACTAATCTAAACCAACCCTTATGCAGATAGGTGGAGAGCTAAATCAATAAGAGTGAAAAGAAGTGGTGTAATGAAATCATAATTAAATCATAACTATTAGAAACAAGATCACGCATGTGGGTTTCAAGTTATTGGCTTAGTTAATATATATTTTTGTGTGTATCTCATAGACGAATTCATATTATTTTTTTATTAGTACATCGGAAAATACAGTTATATTATAGGAGTGCAGAATTTGAAAATATCACTCATTGAATTTTGTATATATCAAAACAATATACTAGTCTCTTCACTTATATCTGTAAAATTATTCGTCCTTCTAATAATCTTTTCAATTCACTTTATCTGTACAATAAAAATACTAACATCCAAAAAAAAAAAAAAGTTATTTCATTTATAAATTTCATGAATTCGTATTATGTAGAATTATGTATACATTATATATTCGAAACAAAGCGTGGCCACTAACAAGCATGCATTGACATTTGACATTGCTGTCTCTTCCTCTGTCTCGATCTACCGAGCTTCAGCCAACAGAAATCATGGTTTTGTTTTCGGATGGTCGCTCAGTTTCCACCCACAAAAGGTATAGACGGTTGTCATGGTTCGTGCCCATCCATAGTTTCCATGAAATTACCAGACGTGATCGAGGCCAAAACTCGCACAGCCACGATGAGACTTGCGCGGATCCGAGTAAGATTGAAGTAAAAGAAGAAAAGCCAAAAGAGACACGAGAAGAATGGGTGATATCGATCAGGGAAAAGATGGATGAAGCACTTAGATACGACGCAACAAATAGCTGGGACAAGCTCTGTATCTACAGAGTTCCATTTTATCTTCAAGAAAACGACAAGAAGTCTTACTTGCCTCAAACTGTCTCTATTGGTCCGTTCCACCATGGCAAGGAACATCTCATGCCCATGGAGCGTCACAAGTGGCGTGCTGTTAATATGATCATGGCACGTACCAAGCACAACATCGAAATGTATATTGACGCCATGAAAGAGCTCGAGGATGAGGCTCGTGCTTGCTACCAAGGTCCCATTGATATGAAGAACAGTAATGAGTTCACAGAAATGCTTGTCCTTGATGGCTGTTTTGTTCTCGAGCTCTTCAAGGGAACAGTTCAAGGATTCAAGGAAATTGGGTTAGTATTCCGGTTTTCTCATATGTATTTCTAAAATCGGTTATCTAAACTATTGAATCTATTTTGAAATTATGTGTTGAATAGCTATGCATCCAATGACCCGGTTTTCGCGAAGGGAGGATTGATGCATTCGATACAACGTGACATGGTAATGCTGGAAAATCAACTTCCTCTGTTTGTTCTCGACCGGTTATTAGCTCTAAAGCCTGGTACACCGAACCAAACCGGTATAGTGGCAGATGTAGCTGTTCGGTTCTTCAAAACACTAATGCCAACAAGCAAGGCATTGACCAAATCAGAAAGTTCGTCCGTCTCTCAGGGAAAATCCGAGGAACTGACTGACCACAACGGGTTGCACTGTTTGGATGTTTTCCATCGAAGTCTCATACAATCTAGTGAGACATTGAATCGTGGAACTCCATATGAAGATGTGAGAATGGTAGACAAGCAACAACAGCAACTGATACATTGTGTGACAGAACTAAGAGACGCTGGTGTTAAGTTCGTGAGAAAAGAAACCGGCCAGCTTTGGGATATTGAATTCAAAAACGGTTATCTAAAGATACCCAAACTTGTAATCCATGACGGTGAGTTAACCGGCTTTTCTTCTCTAGTGTATTATCTATAGAATCCCATAAGGCCATAACCGCATAAATTTATAAAAATAAAAATAAAAAACAAGGTCTAACGTGTTTCTTGTAGGTACGAAGTCTCTATTCTCAAATCTTATAGCTTTCGAGCAGTGCCATACCCAGTCAAGCAACAACATAACATCTTACATAATCTTCATGGATAATCTAATAAACTCTTCGGAAGATGTTAGCTACTTGCACCACTATGGTATCATCGAGCATTGGCTGGGGAGTGATTCTGAAGTTGCAGATTTGTTCAACCGGTTATGTAAAGAAGTGATCTTTGACCCAAAAGATGGTTATCTGTCTCAACTGTCTGGTGAAGTTAACCGTTATTACAGTCGTAAGTGGAACTCTTTGAAGGCTACGTTACGACAAAAGTACTTCAATAATCCTTGGGCATACTTCTCTTTTTCAGCTGCAGTTATTTTGCTAATTCTCACATTTTTCCAAAGCTTGTTTGCTGTCTATGCTTATTATAAGCCACTTTCTTAACTTTCATTGTTATTTTATTTTTCTATAATTTAAAGTATTTCTGTTTTCTTGTTTTTTCTTTTCAATATTTTGTAATTGTTGTTTCTATTCAAAATAAATATTGGCGTTGTAACATTTAGATTTTTAAATTGTATTAGTGTATTGAAAAACATTTTAAAGAGGTTGAGTTTGGACTATATTTATTAGACGCCAAGCGTATGGAACATTGTCGACAAAAAAAAAAAAGAAAGAAAAAAAGGAATATTTAGAAGTACGTCGTAAATATTGGTAAATAATTTTATATATATTTTAAACAGCTATATAGATTAACTAGAGTAATAAACATGGTTGTAAACATGGTTGTGATCGAATTATGGGTTATTGGGTTTACAAATAGTTGTCATGCACTCAAAAGAATAATGTGAGTTAACAAGACAAAAACGAAAGAATAATGTGAATACGTGGAATAAACATAAACAGTAACATGAGATCAAGACAGATTATGGGATTCGCTTAAATTTATTACTCTGAATCTAAAAGTCTTAACTAATTTCAAAAACACCATGTCTGAGCACTTTTTTTTTTGGGGTTAATTGGTCAATTCTTTTAAAGGATAAGATTTTGAATACTTGAATATCTTAATAGATGAGTCTTTTTATATAAAATAACCTCATCGCGTGCATCATACTAGAATGGTGATGTCGTGCCCATGTTCATCGAGAGGCATATTGAACACGAGGATTTTTCAGTTTTCGGTACATTGATTAGGCCAAAAATATGCCGTACGTGTAAACAAAATATCCACGTACGCCATGCATGTGTGTTTAGTTTATTTTTTTTTACACACAATTAAAAAACAAATTACAACTTGTAAGATTATGCACATATAAGAGTGCATGGGCCAACGTGCAGGCCAGGCAATGTGACATACCGATCGCACCAACTCCTTAATAGAAATAATTTATTTATTTATTTTTGATTCTTTAAAAGCGGGTATAAATTAGTTCTGGAAATATGTATAAGGGAAACTACAACGCATAGACACAAATAAAACAAAAATTAAATATCCAGTGTTCATAAAATTTTATTTAGCTCATATTTTTATAGACATTTCACTCCCTATAGCTATGTAGTTCACATTTCTCTCTCATCATTTCTCTAACTCTTCTCTCTCTCGTTCTCTCCCCATCTTTCTCTCTTTCTCTACCCATCATCCAATATCTCTCTTTAAAAATAATGTTGTGAAAATCATCTAAAGAATTAAGTAGACTCGATCAGAGAAGGTGTTGTGTTCTTCGAAATCTAACAAAAGCATATTCCATATTGTCTCAAATAAGAAAAAAACTAAAACAAAATCCATTAAAAATGTAAAAGACAAAAATTTGTGGAGGAAGAGGTAGATGAGAGAGGGAAAGATAAGAATAGGAGGAAGAAGAAGAAGAAGAGAGGCACATAGACAAAGATTCGTAGAGGAATAGGTGTTGTGAGCATATTATCTAATACAATGTTTTTGACTGGATAAGTATAATATTATCTAATACAAATATTGTTAGCTCGATACAAATATAACATAATTTCAGTAGCTATTGATTAATGTATAATTATATTGTTTTTAGTCTAATTGGTTATAATATCAACTATAACATTTATGGTTATTTATTTGGTTAACTTTGTAAATCATATTTTACTGGTATATGTTATAAGTTATTTGATAAATTCATAATTATCTAGTTAAATTATTTATAGTTAATCATATGTTACCGCTATAAATTTTAAGTTATTTGATAAACACATAATTATCTAGTTAAATTAATTATTATATGACTGATTTCGGTTTATATTCACGTGCTTGTATAAAATATTTGTATTACCGGTTTATATAAATACTCAATTTAACGGATAATATGTAACTTACCGCGATAACATATTATTTAACATGTTTTAAAAAAAGTTATTGAATGCTTTTAATCACTGATGAACAGTGTTATTGAATTCATGGAAATATATATCGGTTTGAGTTTATAAAACAGTGGTTAGACTTTATATTTTATAAATAAACAAAAATGTATTTTTGTTTATGTTTATAAAATAGTGGTTAGGGTTTAGATTTTTTAATTAAACGAAATTATATTTTGGTTTGGGTTGACAAAATAGCGGCTAGGGTTTAGATTTTGTTATTAAACGAAATTATATATCGGTTTGGGTTGATAAAATAGTGGTTAGGGTTTAGAGTTTATAATTAGTCGAAATTATATATTCGTTTGGGTTGATAAAATAGTGGTTAAAGTTTAGGTTTTGTAATTAAACAAAATTATATTTTGATTTGAAAATCATTAATACAAAAATAATAGGAAATATAGCTGATAACTTTAAATTTATTGGGACTTGTTATTTAGTAGGGAGTTAGATTGTAACTTATTTGATTACCTTTACAATTATTTAATAATATCTTATTTACCCAAGTCATCAATATCTTGCTCCGTTCAAAAGCGGCGTTTGCTGGTAATATACACAACTCTTTTTTATATTTTTTATTCTTCTTTAACTGAACATAGGGACATTGGTGTAATTTTGAGTGTGTCAGACCAAAAAACTAATTTTTCTTTTAACATGTCTACTTTCTTTATTTTTTGGTCATCTGAGTACTTAAATTTAACTCACCCTATGTATAAAACTATTAAAAATAAATTACGGAAATAAATAATGACATATGATACAATTTTAAGAGCTTCTATCTTTGTTATGTTTTTACAATAAACTAGTATATAGAGATGTTGTTTAAGGGATCCCATTTGTATAGTTGTCCGGTTACGACCTGCCATGATAAATAATAATTGCTAGTATAAAATTATAAACTTGATGCTTCTATTGCTAGGAGTATAATTTTTTTCTTTTAACAAGTGTTTGGATCATTCAAATCTTAATCATAGTCAATAATCTATTATAGTCTTTATATATATATCATCAATTGTCACACGACTTTTCGACTCTGAGTTCTAGAAGAAATGTCAAACAAAAACATACCCCGCCGAGACATTATCCAATACGTTAAAAAATTGTTTAACACATTTTAATGTACAAGTATGATTAAATGTCAAACTTAGTAACGTGTGTATGCATAGCACAAATGTATTAATGTATTATGAATAATTATGGTTGCTGTCATTACAGATCAATCATCCATAAATATAAGCAACCAATTACTGTTTTAAATTAAAGCTTTTAATTCATCACTTCTTGCATCTTTGCTTTTTAACTTTCTCTCTGTCACTCTCAATCTCCTGAAAAAAACTTCAACCAACAAAAATGGCAAGTCGTATTAATGGACCACCTCCCATGCGGCCAACCCTTCCATCGGTGTCGCCACCACTGCCACCGCTACCACCACCTCTGCCACCTCAGCTACCATTTGGACCGAATCTTCCTGTTCGACATATCATTATAAGAAGAAAAAAAAGAAGAAATTTTCATCCACGACAGATGTTGACCTGGTACTTCCTCACGTTCATGATGCGCAAAAAGATCCAAACCCGAAACCAACGACCGGAAGAGACACGGGAAGAATGGGTCATTTGGATCAAAGACAAGATGAAGCAAGTACATAGAGACGACGCCACAACTAGCTGGGACAAGCTCTGTATCTACAGAGTTCCACACTCCCTTCAAAAAAACGACACGAATTCCTATTTCCCTCAAACCGTCTCGCTTGGTCCGTATCACCACGGGGATGAACATCTCCGGCCCATGGACCATCACAAATGGCGTGCGGTCAATATGGTCTTGAAACGTACCAAACAAGGCATCGAGACGTATATTGACGCCATGAAAGAGCTCGAAGAGAGGGCTCGTGCTTGCTACGAAGGTCCTATTAATCTGAGCAGTAACAAGTTCACTCAAATGCTAGTTCTTGATGGTTGCTTTGTTCTCGAACTATTCAGAGGAGCCGATGAAGGATTCTCGAAACTTGGGTAAGCATACTAATACCGGTTGTCTAAAACTGCTGACTTTGATTATTATTTTCTGTTCCTTAGTCTTTTGATGTTGTGTAGATACGATCGAAACGATCCCGTTTTTGCCATGCGAGGGTCCATGCATTCCGTTCGACGTGACATGCTAATGTTGGAAAATCAACTTCCTTGGTTCGTCTTGAACCGGTTATTTGATCTACAGCTCGGTACACAGAACAAACCCGGTTTAGTGGCGATATTAGCAGTTGGGTTCTTCAATCCATTAATGCCAACCTATATGCCATCAACTAAAGTCGGGAACTCGCTAGTAAACAATAAGTTCTTTAACCCAATAGCTGACAAGGACAAGGAAGAGTTGCACTGTCTTGATGTTTTCCGTCGAAGTGTACTTCAGCCAAGTCTAAAACCGGAACCGAGGTTGTCGCGAAGTAGATGGTCTTGGAAACCGCTCGTGGCGGACAAGCGCCAACAACAACTGTTGCACTGCGTGACAGAACTAAGAGAGGCTGGTATTAAATTCAAAAGTAGAAAATCCGACCGGTTTTGGGATATTCAATTCAAAAACGGTTGTTTAGAGATACCGAAACTACTCATCCATGACGGTGAGTTCACAATTTTTTTATTTTTTTCTCTTCTTATAAGTTTTATCAAAATAGTGGTTTACAAAAAAAAAAAAAAAGAGTCGTATCAAAATAGTTTTCTCTATATATCTTATATCGCATTTCAAATCTTGTTTTTATACCTATTTATCGCTTACGAATCATAATGAGATATGCATACAAATGGTTTTAATTTCACGAACGTATTTACATTCGAACGTGAAATAATTTCTTAAAGAAAATTATCAAAACCAATTTTAATGCGACACATATTAGTTCTTTTCGATTGTTTCTCCACAAGTTACTATAGTAAAGTTTCTCCACAAGTTACTATAGTAAAATAAATTGTCATCAAATGTGTTGCATGTTTGACCAATTTAGAATGATTTAAGTATATATATGGATAAACTTCTTTTTCTAGACAACCTTACAAAACCAATTTTATGGTCTCTCGCGTTAATTATAGGTACCAAGTCACTTTTCTCAAATCTTATAGCTTACGAGCAGTGCCATATCGATTCAACCAACGATATAACATCCTACATAATCTTCATGGACAACCTAATAGATTCTGCAGAAGATGTTAGGTATTTGCACTACTATGATATCATCGAGCACTGGTTAGGAAATGATTCAGAAGTTGCTGATGTGTTCAACCGGCTATGTCAAGAAGTGGCTTTTGACCTCGAAAATACTTATTTATCTGAACTGTCGCATAAGGTGGACAGTTATTATAACCGGAAGTGGAATGTCGTGAAGGCAACTTTGAAACATAAGTACTTCAACAATCCTTGGGCGTACTTCTCTTTCTTTGCTGCAGTTATTCTGCTACTTCTCACATTATTTCAGAGTTTTTTCACTTCTTATCCTTATTTCTATCCACCTTCTTAATAATTAATTGGAAAGTTAAAAGTTTGTATGTTTTGACTCTGTTTTTCCAATTGTATCACAAAAAATAAATAATTATTTCACTATTTTTCTACGTGGTAAACTTTTTTTGCTAACTTACTTTTTTCACTTATTATCTGGTAAATTTTGCATGTTTCAAGCTCAATCCTTGAAATATATTACAAGACCATAAGAGTTTGGATTACTTAAATAGATAAAATTAATAGTCTCTTCACCACCCAAGACTCAAGAGTTTTGATCTTGAGCACGTTTACTTTTTAGGGTCTCATAATACACGAATTGACTAGTGAGGGACTACTGTTTTTTAAGAGCGTTTTTTTTGTCGACGGTTTTAAGAGCCTTTTATAATAATAAATTTTTAAAAAACAAAACGTGGCCCGTCAAGGTGTTAAATTCACAGCTCTATAGTTTGACAAACTTAGAGCAAGATTATCAATGGTATCTTACATTTTAATCTTAGAATTAGTTTAATAATAAATTTGAAAAAGTAAGGGTTAAGAGTTGTATTTGTGTTTTTTGTTTTGAGACATCTTTATTGGTAGTATCTTAGGTTGGGGATCTTAAAAAAAGAAAATTTATATAAAAATTAAATTAAATTAAAATTTATAATTTGAGAAAACTTTATAATTATTGAAAAATTTAAAAATTTAAAACATACATAAGATAAAGTTAAGGAATGAAAGAAAGAAGAGAAAATTAAGAAAATTGATTTTTTCCCCTTTTATATATATATCCTAGTGAATTTTTGAGGAATGCCTCTTTTAGTGTATCCTTTTTTTAAAATACCATTTTTCTATCCATTTTAAAAATACCCCTTTTCAAGTATGAAAAATTATAAACTTTTATATGGTTGATAAGGTACATCAAGATCATCATTACTACTGAAAGACTAAATCCAAATAATTATAAGGTTTTAAAATGTTCTAAACGGCATTTATCAGGTTTTTAAAAGGTTTACAAATTTTTTATAAGGTTTTTAAATGATTTTTAAAAGGTTTTTATACGGTATTTATGAATATATATATATATATAAATTTACACACATATAAAAATAATTTGTGTCTATACATATAAACTTACACATATATTTTTGATAAAATTTCAAATTTTATAGTGACTTTTTGATAAAATTATATATATATATATTTATTTATTTATTTATTTATTTATTCTACTACCCAATAAAATTTTGCCACATGTACGCTTCTTAGCACAATAGGTAGATCTTAAATAAGATAGCTTCTTAGTCAATTTGATGTATTTTTGATTTAATTAAATCATAAATAATCCTAAGATCTATGTAAGATCTTGCCTATAATGATGGTCTTATTAATGTGTGCTGTGCATAGATCTATCATCTGGTTACATCTTTGATTTTCAACATTTTTCTCTGTTTTTTTTTTGGTTTAACATATTTCTCTCTTTCGAAGCTTCAAAGCAACAAAAATGGTCCGTATTCTTTCTTTTCCACCACCGCCTCCGCCACCACCACCATCATTTAGATCAATCCCACCTCGGCGCTATTTCTTCAAAAGAAAGAACAGAACTCCTCCACCACCACCACCACCGCCACCGCGACCATTTGGACCGATTCTTCCTTGGAAATATTCTGTCAAAAGAAGAAGAAATAATCCACCATCTTGTTTGATCCAAAAAGACATGTTGACATGGTACGTGATCACCCTCGTCATGCGCCGAGAACTCCAAACCCGAAACCATCAACCTGAAGAGACACGAGAAGAATGGGTGATCTCAATCAAAGACAAGATGGACCAAGCACTCAGAGAAGACGCCACAACTAGTTGGGACAAGCTATGTATCTACAGAGTACCACAATACCTTCAAGAAAACAACAAGAAGTCCTATTGCCCTCAGACTGTCTCGCTTGGTCCGTACCACCATGGCAACAAACATCTCCTCCCCATGGACCGTCACAAGTGGCGTGCTGTCAATATGGTCATGTCACGCACCAAGCATATCATCGAAATGTATATTGACGCCATGAAAGTTCTCGAAGACAGGGCTCGTGCTTGCTACGAAGGCCTCATTCGTTTGAGCAGTAACAAGTTTACCGAAATGCTGGTTCTTGATGGTTGTTTTGTCCTTGAGCTCTTCAGAGGAGCCGATGAAGGATTTTCAGAACTTGGGTTAGAATTTCGGGTTTATTCGGTTAACGTACTATTTACTAAGCTGGTATTATTTAAGATCCGGTTATGATCTAAATTGTTGACTTTGAATTTTTTTCTATGTGTAGATACAATCGTAACGATCCAGTTTTTGCAATGCGAGGATCGATGCATTCGATACAACGTGACATGGTAATGCTGGAAAATCAACTTCCTTTGTTCGTTCTAGACCGGTTGTTAGAGCTACAGCTTGGTCCACGAAATCAAGCCGGTTTAGTGGCACAATTGGCAATTCGGTTCTTTAATCCGTTGATGCCAACCGACGAACCGTTGACCAAAACCGACCAGTCTAAACCCGAAAGCTCACTGGAAAAGGATAAATTCTTTAACCCGATTGCTGACAAGGACAAGGGCGAGTTGCACTGTCTAGATGTGTTCCGTCGAAACCTGCTTCGGCCTTGTTCGAATCCAGAGCCGAGGTTATCACGAAGGAGATGGTCCTGGAAGACTCGTGTGGCGGACAAGCGCCAACAACAACTGATACATTGCGTGACAGAGCTAAAAGAGGCCGGTATCAAATTTAGGAGAAGGAAGACAGACCGGTTTTGGGATATTCAATTCAAGAATGGTTATCTAGAGATACCCAAACTACTTATCCATGATGGTAAGAAAGATGACTTATTATTTGATACACTAATTTGAACAATATGTTACTATATCACTTCTTTCTATAGAATCCCATAACTCCTAATAAACTTACCTAAATACCATCTTCTCGTGTTTCTTGTAGGTACAAAATCTCTATTTTCGAATCTTATAGCTTTTGAGCAATGTCATATCGACTCGAGCAACGACATAACATCTTACATAATCTTCATGGATAATCTAATAGATTCTCCTGAAGATGTTAGTTATTTGCATTATTGTGGTATCATCGAACACTGGCTAGGAAGTGATTATGAAGTTGCGGATTTGTTCAACCGGTTATGTCAAGAAGTGGCTTTCGACCCCCAGAATAGTTATTTATCTCAACTGTCAAATAAAGTCGACCGGTATTATAGTCGAAAGTGGAATGTTTTGAAGGCCATCTTAAAACACAAGTACTTCAATAATCCTTGGGCATATTTCTCTTTTTTTGCTGCACTTGTCCTGCTAGTTCTCACTTTATTTCAAAGTTTTTTTACTGCTTTTCCTTATTTTAGGCCACCTTCTTGATAATTTCCTTCATTCAACTTGGGATGTTTGTATTTTTTTTTTTTGAACATTTTTGTATTTTCTTCATTTATTATTGTAATGCAAAAATAAAATCAGAAACTAAACTAAACAGAACATTTTTTTCGTCACAACCAAACGAGTTTGGTACTCGATGTTTACCACAGAGTAGGTTTACAAGTTCCTTCAGTCCGGATAATAGAACGTCACATATCTTTACAAGTTCTCCAACTAATGACATAATGTGGTATGCTAATTGTTATAATCGGAAATAATTTCCATATTTCTATCCTATAAAAGAAAAAGTTCATTCTTCGTTTTGGGGTTTCCATGGAATAAAAAGGAAATAGTTTTTTTTTAACTATTTTCTCCTTCGTTGATAAAATTAATTTGAAACCTTACCATTTAGTTTTATATAGCAATCAGTCACACCCTAACGATTGTCTAGTAAAATAAGCAAATGAAATGTGCTAGAGCAATCATCATTCATAGGAGAAATGGTGAGGTCGTGCCATGTTCCTCAATAGCTGTGTAGAGTACATGTTCCGTTATGCTCTTACCATTTTCCATTTTATTTTGTTAGTTTTGTAACTTGTTTAGTAATAATATTTGCTTCAGCTAGATATAAGAAAAAAGAATACCATAATATCAATAACTATATATGATGAATTGTGAATTTCACGTTGAGCTTTCTTTTTTTTTTTTTTTTTTGTGTGCTTTTGAATCTTTTGAAATTACCCGAATTTGACAAGACAACTAATCTTATCTTGTCCAACTACTCTCTTATTCCCCATATAAACGCGATTCTATTATGGTTGGCAATGATACCTTGGGCTCTTACTCATATCCGAATTTAACTAGACGAACATATATATTGTGTGTTTGTGGGTACTCATTTGTCGTCTAAGTTCTTATTCTCCGCATGTTACAATTTTGTTTTTTTAACATGTCTCATGCATGCCTAGCTCTAAACTCCAAATGCATAATCAGTTTTCATTTTCATACTTTTTATCTGTATGTTTTTTTTGGTAAAAACAAACCTCAGCTTGTCTCTCTAGTTGAGTTAACTGTCGACGTTTTAGTATGGTTTTTGATTATACGTAATTCCGAGAAAACAAGATCTTCTTTTAAACCGCAAGACTCCAATTAATTTGTGTATTTTAGTAGCTATAAGAAAATGAGTATTTAATTTTAGGCGTTACTTTATTTTCATATTTGTTTTTTGTTAAATGTGTATTTGTGTGTGTGTGTTTAGAAATATCTAAAATTTTGGTTGTTGTCATTACAGATCACTTGGGTCCATAAGTACAATAAGTAACCAATTATAGCTTCAAATCATTCACATATACTTGTTTCTGTCTTCCTCTTTCATTTTCTTGAAAAAGCTTCAACAAACAAAAATGGTGGCTGTTTTCTACAAAGACATGTTGAGCTGGTACTTACTCACTCTCAAGATCCGCGAAAAACTCGAAACCCAAAACCAAGAATCCGAACCAATTAATCAAGATCAAAACATCATCGGTTTACCCGAAATCACCAGATCCGATCAAGGCCAAAACAATCATAACTACGGCCGGACTCAATCCGAGCTCGGTAAGATCAGCGTAACCAAAGAGAGTCCAAGAGATTCACGAGACGATTGGGTGATCTCAATCACAGACAAGCTCGAACAAGCACATAGAGACGATGACACGACAACCTGGGGAAAGCTCTGTATCTACAGAGTTCCATATTACCTTCAAGAAAACGACAACAAATCGTACTTCCCTCAAACCGTCTCGCTTGGTCCGTACCATCATGGTAAGAAACGTCTCCGGTCTATGGACCGTCACAAATGGCGTGCAGTCAATAGAGTCTTGAAACGTACGAACCAAGGCATCAAAATGTATATCGACGCCATGGGAGAGCTAGAGGAAAAGGCTCGAGCTTGTTACGAAGGTCCCTTAAGTTTAAACAGTAACGATTTTATTGAAATGCTTGTTCTTGATGGGTGTTTTGTTCTTGAGCTCTTCAGAGGAGCCGTTGAAGGATTCACCGAACTCGGGTAAGACTGTTTTTTCACAATTGCTGGTACTTTCAAATTATTGAGTAAACCGGTCTCAATCATTTTTTGTGTAGATATGCACGTAACGATCCAGTTTTTGCTATGAGAGGATCGATGCATTCAATTCAACGTGACATGGTAATGCTAGAAAACCAACTTCCTTTGTTCGTTCTAAACCGGTTATTAGAGTTACAGCTTGGATCGCGGAACCAAACCGGTTTAGTGGCACAATTAGCAATTCGGTTCTTTGATCCACTAATGCCAACGGATGAGCCGTTGACCAGAACGGATCAGTCAAGACTCGAGAACTCGTTGGCAAGAGACAAAGCCTTTGACCCATTCGCTGACAAGGGCGAGTTGCACTGTTTAGATGTTTTCCGTCGAAGTCTACTCCGGTCTAGTCCTAAACCGGAGCCGAGGTTAACAAGAAAAAGATGGTCACGGAACACACGCGTGGCTGACAAGCGTCGTCAACAGCTGATACATTGCGTGACGGAGCTAAGGGAAGCCGGTATAAAATTCAGGAGAAGAAAAACCGACCGGTTTTGGGATATTCAATTCAAAAACGGTTATCTAGAGATACCAAGACTACTTATCCATGATGGTATGTTCACGTTTTACGCATTTTCTTCTTTTTTATATAACTGTGACCTGCCCCATATGCTTTACAACTATTTTCATATTTTCTTGAGTAAATGATTACAATTTTTATTTACAAATTGATGTTTCTTTCATTTGCATCAGTTTATATGGATTGACAAAGAATATATATTAGTTAGGAACTGTTAGGAATCATGACATGGTAAAATGCTACTTTCGGGAATATAAGAAATGTCATCAATTCATAATGGTCTAAGCAATGGAAAACTGCGTCGTTTAAACTTAGCAAAGAGTTTAATTAGATAATGAAACACAAATACACTTTTTTTCAACGAAACTATAATATTTTCATACTTAACAAATGAATCCTTTCGTGTATGTTTTGTAGGTACCAAATCTCTATTTCTGAATCTTATAGCTTTCGAGCAGTGCCATATCGACTCGACCAACGACATAACATCCTACATAATCTTCATGGACAATCTAATAGATTCTCACGAAGACGTAAGCTACTTGCACTACTGCGGTATCATCGAACATTGGCTAGGGAGCGATTCTGAAGTCGCGGATTTGTTCAACCGGTTATGTCAAGAAGTTGTATTCGACACCGGAGATAGCTATCTATCTCGGTTATCGGTTGAGGTTAACCGTTATTACGACCATAAGTGGAATGCTTGGAGGGCGACTTTGAAACATAAGTACTTCAATAATCCATGGGCTATTGTTTCTTTCTGTGCTGCTGTTATTCTACTAGTCCTCACTTTGTCTCAAAGTTTTTATGCTGCTTATGCTTATTATAAGCCACCTTCTTAACCGTATAGCTTGGTTTTGTGTTATATGTAAACACTTGGGTTTTCAAATAGCCGTGGTATACTTACTTTTTTTTTTTTTCTCATGAAAGTAATTTTTTTAAAACGTTTATGATTCACATTTTATAAATATTTTTCATTAAATAATTATGTAATTAAGTCTCTTGAAAATTACACAAATCCGTAAAATTTCTCATTCTTTTTGAAAAATCTGATAATCAAACGTTGACCATATTTTTAAATGAAACAAGCCCAAGTGCGAAGTATATATTTTGGCCCATATAGGCCCAATGAACGATAAACAAAAAATTTGACCGGCAAGAGCGGAGGATGATCGTTAATCTCCGCACGTTCATCGGAAATTTCGTCGGCTGCTACTCCTCTGAATCAACCCCAAATCTGCTTCCTACATTGAATCGCTTCTTCTTCTTCGCCTAAGCAATAACTCGAAGCTAATCTTCCTGCATTCACCATTCTCCGGTAAACATTGTCGAACTTTTGAAGTCTAGTTTCCATTTCACGCCTCTTGATCTGCTTGATAGTTTTACCGATTTAACGATCTGTTTCGTCGACTCCGTCATGGATACTGATTAGGAATTGTTGAAAGATGTGTGAAAATGGATATCGAATTCGCTGACCTGTTGGATTATTAAGCAATGTTGCACTAGTACGGTCTTTGATGCTTCATCCTGCGAAGCAATTTTTTCGTAGTCAGTGCTTTTTTTCAGATGATTCCAGAAGAGAATTAAGCCAATAGCTTTAGCGAATTCTGACGTGTGTGGTGTACTTTGAGACATGGATAATGTGGGAATATGGAGTCGTTTCTTCGTTCTTGCTAGTGTTTTGATTTAATGAGAAAGCTGGGCTTTATAATCATCAAACATGAACTTTTCTTTGTTTTTAGGTTGTTCTCGTCAAGTAGGCTAATCAGCTATGATGGAAACTGATCCTGTTGACTCGTCATCTCAGTCTCCAGCTATAGTATCTGAGAAAGATGTAACCATTCCTGGTAATTCTGAAACTTTTCAAGAAGTTATGGGTGTTGAAGAAGGTCCTGTGAGCTCTGTAGGAGAAGCTCCTAAAGATTTTAATAGGACAGAAGCTTCAGCTGCAAAGGTTGATACTCCAATGCCTTCTACTGGCTCTGAACCTTCGAGTAAAACTGAGGATATAGTTCCATGCCCGCCAGGTTCATCCCCACGCGAATCGCCACCATCTATATTTTCTTCTTCTGGTCTTTCTTCTTGGGCCAAAAGTTTGAAATTCCCGCAGCAAGATCCAAACACTGCAGATTCTGGGATGTCAGCTTTCACAAGATTCACCTCTGAACTTGGTCTGCATTTGCCAACGAAAGGGTCAGATGAGGCCAGCGACCCTAAACCACCAAACACACAAGTTGGTGGTGCTCTTGAGTCGCTCACGAAAGCCGTGGTAGATTCCTCTCGTGGTGCTGTAAAAGCAATGCAGGTGAAAGCACGCCACATTGTCTCGCAGAACAAAAGAAGATACCAGGTATATTATTTTTTTCTTCCTTGGTATTGTTAGATTCTTGAAACTTAAGTGATGCACATTATAGTCACAATAGCTTGTTTCAGTAACACTACCTTGGTACAAATTGTTTTCCCAAAACTAGTTGTTATCACATCTTTTATTCATGCTTTCCTGTGTAAGGTATAACTAGATTCTAGTATATATAAGTGCCCAGATCAGTATTACTTACATCACTGGTTTACATGGCATATGCTATCTGGTCCAATCTCCAGGAGGGGGAATTCGATTTGGACATGACATATATAACTGAGAATGTAATCGCAATGGGGTTCCCAGCTGGTGACATAAGCTCTGGTCTTTTTGGATTTTTCGAGGTAAATGCTTTCCCTGTGGTCTGAAATATAACTTCCCCAGCCAGTTCTTTTCTTCTCTCGACCTTCAGTTTCTCATTGAAAAATGTCAATATGCAGGGATTTTATCGTAACCACATGGAAGAGGTGATCAAGTTTTTCGAAACTAATCACAAGGTAACCATTGACACAGACTGGGAGCCTCTTAAACTCTATGAGTTTCTGTCAATTCTTATATGGTTCATACCAGTTGGATTTTATTAGACACTGCAGCCCAGACTTGTAGTGTTAATTGGCTATGTTTTTCATGTCGTTACTGATCTCTAAACGTTGTTCCCAATACGCAGGAAAAATATAAGGTCTACAACCTTTGTTCAGAGAGATTGTATGATGCTTCGAGATTTGAGGGGAAGGTATATACAAACTCTATGCACTTGATATCTCAGACCGTATATTTTGCAGGCAGTTTCTGTTGTTGCCCTTGTTATCAAAGCTAATGTTTATAGACCGCTTACTACACGTTTGCTTCATCACTTGTCTGTTTTCTTTTTCTTAAGGTTGCATCTTTCCCATTTGATGACCATAACTGTCCTCCTATCCAATTGATACCATCATTTTGTCAAAGTGCATACACATGGCTGAAGGAAGATATCCAAAATGTAGTGGTAGTTCATTGTAAAGCTGGAATGGCAAGAACCGGATTAATGATTTGCTGTCTTCTTCTATATCTCAAGGTGATACTTAAATGAAGCGAAGTCTTGGCCGACGAATGAATTCCTTCTCCGTATGTCGCGTGTGACTGATCTGACTGGTCCATTGCAGTTCTTTCCTACAGCTGAGGAGGCTATTGATTACTATAATCAAAAGAGATGTCTTGATGGGAAAGCTCTCGTTCTCCCAAGTCAGATTGTAAGTTCTGAGCCTGCACCACTCTTTTTAACGTGCTTGTTCGATTCTACCTCATCCTATATTCCTATTAAACGAGCTTTCGTGTTTCCTTCAGCGATATGTCAAGTACTACGAACGTGTTCAAAATCAATTTGACGGGAAAGTTCCAGCTGAACAAAGGTACGCTTCAGACGTAGCTGACCAATCAGATAGTTTGATTTGTGGTAATATTCATATATCCCTAACCAGAGAACAAACAATTATGTAGATGCATGCTCAGAGGGTTTCGTCTAATCAACTGCCCTTACTGGATTAGACCTGCCATTACGATCTCCAACCACACTGGTAGAGAGCTAGTTTCTTATTGCATTTTGTAAATTCGCATACATTTGAAAAATGTGCTGTTTTCTTCTATTGAACAGATATACTTTTCTCAACAAAGAAGCATCAGAAAACCAAGGATTTGGGGGTAGGCATTTTGGTTCTTCTCTCTCTCTCTCTGATGTTAATTTTTTACAAAACTACAACTCGTCTTGACATATAAACTTGTGTTTATGGACTGTAGCCTGAAGATTTTTGGATAAAGGCACCCAAAAAAGGAGTTGTTGTCTTTGCAATACCTGGTGAAGCTGGTCTAACAGAATTAGCCGGAGACTTCAAAGTCCACTTTCAAGATAGTGATGGAGATTTTTACTGGTAAACTCTCTTCTTCCTTCACAGACGTATTTTAAATCGACCAATTCACTAATTTTTACTAATTTCTGAACGCAGTTGGCTAAATACTACACTGACTGATAACAGAACAATGCTGAAAGGTAGTGACTTTGATGGCTTCGAAAAGGTAAAGGAGATGTTCATAACAGCTTAGATTCAAGCCTGTGGTTGCTTTCCTATTGACCTGATCCCTTGACGTATTTTTGTAGAGAAAACTGCCTGCACCGGGTTTCCATGTCGAGATCGTAATGATAGAATCCGACAATTCTCAACCAACAAAGTCCAAATCTGATTCCACCCAAAAACAATCTCAAAGCAGCTCCAGTGCTGGATCCAGCAAACTCAAGTCTAATCAGAACGAAGACGATGATGTATTCTCCGACAGTGATGGGGAAGAGGACAGACACTCAAAACCCATTGAGACCAATTCAAAAACCGAGAAAACCGTAGACTCGATGCACACAACTAGTAAACCTCATCAGATCAATGAGCCACCAAAGATAGATGTCCATGACTCTTCCGCAAACAGAAGTCTCACAAGTTCATCATCCTCCGGTCTTCATAATCCAGTACCAAACCACTCATTAGCAGTTAGTGATATCAAAGCTATTGCTGCAGACGCATCGGTCTTCTCCTTTGGAGATGAGGAAGAAGACTATGAAAGCGACTGAGCCTGAAAAGTCAGGCTTTATCACACTTTATCATACGTACACAAATATAACAGATTTTGTATTGACTCTGTTTCAAAAGAAACAATTGTAACAATTGCAAACTGTAAAAGAAAATAACAGAATCTTTTCATTGTTCCCCAATTGCATTTGTGGTTGGAAATAAATCTCATTCCTGCATCTGAACAAGCTCCTCTTAATTTCATCTTCACAAAGATTAATGTTTGTTAGCGTTGTAGTCGTATTTAATACCATGACAAGATAAACTGGTTATGCTGTTGATTGTTTGAATATCCCCAATAAAGGGTCGTTGAATGTCAAACAAAAGACCAAACACAGGACAGAAGAAGTTTTTTTTTTTAGATTTATAAATCAACGTCAAACCTTATCAGAATCCTCTATTATAATTGTACAATGCAAAATGGTTAATCTCAACGTAGGTTGCATCATTCATCTTGAACCATTTTACGGACATATAAACTAGCTCTTGATCCCGAACTCCGCTTAAAGGTGACTTGTTTTTGTGGCAAACCCACTGAATCCTGAAAAAACACATAGTGCATAAACTTATTTCATCTTTCGATTAGTAAGTTTCTGATCCAAAAGCAGAGATTCTAAAATACCGTCATTTGGATTCCATCAACGTTTTCAAATGCTTGATCTGCTTCTTCTGAACTATTGAAAACAACAAATGCACAATAGTAACCTCTCTGCGTTTTTGCTGGCTGCCAAAAGGAAAAACAAAACCGAGGTCAAAGAAAGGTTTGATGTTTTGAATCCGTAGAGAAAAAGTACATGGTTTGATTTGTCAACCTTAACATCAAGTGTAAACTTTCCAGAAAGAAGTTGGTCCAGCTCTTCAGATGTCACATTGTGAGGGATTTTATGTAGAAAGAGTCTTGCTTTCTCAACCTCCAGCATCTATGGCAAAAATTGCAGACACTTGATTTGTAATTGTTGGAATTTATGATAAAGCTATAAGTTTGGTAAATCCATCTTTGTTAACCTCTTTGGATGGTTTGATTGTTGTGTCAACTCTTTTCTCTATAACAGCAAGCACAAGTTTCATCGCAGCTGCTGCATCATCCACACAATCATGAGGAACGTAGTCCTTTCGGACTTCGTAACCCAAAATAGACTAGAAAATACAAAAAAAAAAAAGTACTTAAAAAATGTTTTTATCTTTTTGTGATATTCACCTAAAGAGTAGAGAAACACATTATAGACTTACCTTGCATAGGTTGTTAAGTGAAGGTCTTCTGAGCTTTCTTTCATTGGAATACTTGAATACAAGTGCGGTATCGATTACTTTGGGATGATCTATCTTCAACACTGGGATCAAAATACCCATAAGTTTGTAGCTAAAACCCAATAAATATAACAAAATCAATACCCACTCACTCTACTGGGAACATATTACTTACCTTGCAAATCTCTGTTCAAACTGTGTCCTACCAAAATCGTACCCTCAGAAAGAAAAGGCTGCAAAGTTTCCTGCACATTTCACACAGTTAACATAACGACTACACGTTAGTGCTGGGGAGAAGATAAACCAATAGAAAGACTCTACAGGGTACCTGTATATCTGCCACAGAGAGTGTAGTATTTTTGATATCTTCAGCAGTGACCCCTGTAATGTATGTCCTGTAGTCAACAACAGGTTTGTCCGGTTTCACGAATTTGTCAAGAATCACCTAAAGCCATCAACATTTGATCACTCAGGGTCAAAGAAAACAGGTCCACTGGGAAAAGGCGGCCACTAAAGATTCTCTAAGCTCTATACCTTTAAATCACTGTCTACAACGCCAACTCTAACTAAACCCTCAGTCCCATCTTCACAAAGAACCATCTCACAATCAAGAGCTACAATTTGAGTAGATTTCATCACCTTTGACATCTTCAATCCAACATCGGATACAAACCAGTCCTGCTTAGCAATTCAAGAAGTCTTAAAGAACCGCATAAAACAGGTAAAAACGAAACAACTTTCGTTACAGTAATTCAATAAACACCAAGAACCCATTGTTTAGAGGAGAGAAACAAACCTCGGAGTATGGCTGGAATGAATAGTCAAAAGAGTAATTCTGATGCTCAACGGTCAATCGAACTAGCATCTGTGCTGCCAAACAACAACATTTTGTTACAGCTCACTTCACACATATGTTTATCAAACTTAAACAAACACAACATCCTCAAAAACATGTTTTATTCCATCCAAACAAAATCATTCCCCAACCTGCTCAGGAGTGTCTTTATCTTCAGACTCCTGCTTCAACTCTTCAATCAGAAGATGATTGGCATGACATTTCAGAACCTTGGCACAAAAAAAAAACCAAAACTTTATGCATTTGGTGGCAAAAAATTTACAATCACATTAGTGTTGTTCTTGGGTTCAGTTCATATTTACTTGCAAATCTTCTTTCTTCTTAAAAGTTGACAAAAACTGAACCAAATCGTCATGGGAACGCCTCGAAGGGTCCTTGAGTGATCCAACATTTTCGTCGTAAACATTTAAAAACTCCTTCCAATTCCCTTTTTCGCCTCGCAAATCTCGACTCTGCGCTAAATTCACCAACTCTTCAAGCACCTAAATCGGAATTAAGAATATTAAGAGATACAGAGAAACGTAACTCAACCTCAAAATCAAAATCAAGGTACAACAAAAAAAACAAAATACACCAACTTTTTTCTCGACGGTGGCTAGTTTAAGCTCCATAGTACGAGAAACCAATGCAGGGCCGCAGGGGACGGCTCAGCGAGTTTTTTTTAACTCCCAAAGTGTTTGGAGAAGAAGAAACAGAGAGAGAGTTTAGGGTTTCTGCTTTTGATTTTGAGGAATTCTAGAATTGGTCAAGTGGGTCTGAGATGAGTGAGACTAACATGGTCGATAGTGACATTTGATGAGGGTTTTAGCCAAGGATCAATGAAAAAGCCTCAAACTTTTCAACTATGCGTCCACTGTGACATCTTTGACTTCCATATTAGTAAATATTTGTTGCCATTATTTTAAGATCCACCTTATGTTATACTATCTAGTAATTGTATATACTGTACCCATTCTTCAGTTTTTATCCCAAAACATTTTTCACCTTTTTTTTTGTGACTTTCCCATAATTAAAAGAATAAATATTCGCATGGATCTTTGATTATATCATTCCTTGTTTTACGAACAAATAAACAAGCACTTGGACATAGAACATACCCATACCCTGATCCAAGGTTACATCATTCATCATAAGCCATTTTACGAACAAATAAACTAGCACTTGGACAACAACTCAGCCTGAAGACAATGCGTTTCCGTGGCAGCCCCAACGAATCCTGAAAAGCAAAACCATAACGCAGAAAACTTACTTCATCACTCTCTCTCCATCACAAAGTTTCATAACCCTTTAACAACAAAAATAATTAGAATATCTTATACCTCTTGGCTCTTGTTGTTTTCCAACAACGTGTGTGTTGAGAGTTCATCACCTTCGACATCTTCATCCCAACATCAGATACATACCGGCCCAGCTAAAACATTTCACAAGTGTTAAAGAAGTATATATACTAAGTAAACAGCAAATGCCATTGTTCAGGACAGGATCGAACAGTGGCTGGAATGAATAGACTATTTGGTATTCCGGATGCCAATAGTCAATCGAAGTAGCCTCTGTAACATAGTTGAAACATGTTACTACCAAATACCCTCAAAACATATATTTTTTTGATTGATTTTTCCAGCTACACACCTACTCAGGAGTGTGTTTATCCGGAGATGCTTGCTTGAACTTTTCAACCATAAGATGATTGGCGTGACATCGCAAAGACTAGCTAAGAGCCAAGAAAAAAGTAAAGGTTAAACAAAAACCAAAACTCATCAGTTCCATTACTATATCAAATCACATTGTGTTATCCTTCTTCATTACCTGTATATCTTCTTTCTTCTTAAAAGTTACAAGAAAAGCGACTAAATCATCATGCTTTGATCCAAACTTTTTGTCGTAAACATCTAAAAACTCCTTCCATCTTCCGTTCTCTCCTTGCAGACCGAGACTTTGCACTCCCTTCACCAACTCTTGCAACACCTAAAGTTGAATAAATTTGAAGGGATTATAAGCAGTCGAGCTTAAAACAACGAATTATTCATACAACAAAATTGCTACTCGGCCTGATAAATTAGAGCAAGTACAGCTTAAAAAAACAGAAGAACTTCATACTTTATGCACCATAATACTAATGAAACTGCAAATTCTTTCAGCGCTAGAGGAAAACTTGAGGAAGAAGGAACAGAGTTAGGGTTATTATTTCTTCGCTTATTGTTATTTTGCTAGGTTATTTCTTCGCTTTTTGATTTGAGAGATCTTTAATTTATATGTCTTTTTAAATATAGATTAAAATAAAATAGCAAACTGATTTTCGAACTTTTCCTAAATGTTTTTTCACACAACTTCCCTACTTTCTTAGTAATACACTATTTCATTATCTTTTACAAAAGTGGAAATTGAAACTATATATAGTATTCTTCCTTTTCACATCACTTCTTTGACTCTGTTTCTGATATTTAAACTTCATCTTCGATTGTGCTTCAATTCCTCAAGTCCTGTTCTATTATGTGACAATATATTAATTGTTCAATTCGATTATGTGACAATATATTAATTTTGCCACTGATTTACTCGAATATATGGAAAAAATTGCGAAAAACCAAAAATAAACCAAATTTTAGAATTATAAATAAGCAATGTTAAGACAACTTATACAAAGAAAATAAGAAAGCATAATTATAAGAACATTACTAAAAGCTCCCACAGAATCCTGGTTGCATCAATAATCTTGACCCATCTTACGGACATAAAAACAAGCTCTTGAACCAGAAATGAGTTTCTGTGGCAGCCCCGATGAATCCTGAAATGCCAAAACATAACTCAGAAACTTACTTCGTCACTCTCAAGTTGAACAAACAAAGAGTTTAATTAGGATTCTTTAAAAAGTAAAGAAAAAAAATTAAAACAGATTGTAACATATATATATACCCTCTCTTGGCATCCATTAATGTTTGCAAATGCTTGATTTGCCTCTTTTGAGCTACCAAAAACAACAACTGCACAGTAGTTTCCTCCCTGTACTTTTGCTGGCTGCCAATTTTTTTAAAAAAGAACCGAGGTCAAAGAAAAATGTGTTATTGTGTTATTAGACATGTATGGTTTGATTTTCCAACCTTGACTTCAATTTTAAACTCTTTGGAACGAAACTCTCGAGAAAGAACTTGTTCGAGCTCTGTACTTGGCAGATAGGTAGGGATTCTATGTAGAAAGAATCTTGATTTCTCATCCTCCTGCATCTAAGAAACAAAAAAGAATGGAATATTGTAAATGTATCTGCAAATTTAGTGTAAACATGCATGTTTGGCTTAATCATTTGAAACCTCTCTAGTTAGTATGACTGTTGTGTCAATTCTTTTCTCCATAAGGGCAAGTACAAGTTTCATTGCAGCAGCTGCATCATGTACGCAATGATGAGAAACACCAGTCTTTTGGACTTCGTACCCCAACATAGCCTGAAAATATTCATTATTTTTCCAAGTAATTATAAGAATGTATTATTCTTATAAGATTACATCAAGAGTAGTAGATATATAAAAAAAGGTTTCACCATGCAAAGGGTGTTAAGTGAGGGTCTTCTGAACTTTCGAGCATTGGGAAACTTGAACACGAGTGACGTATCAATTACTATGGGATGATCTATCTTCAACACTGCAATCAAAATACTCATGATTTAGTTTTAAAAAAAAATTAGGAGGGACTCTAATGGGAAATTATTTACTTACCTTCCAAGTCATGGTACAAACTGTGACCAACCAAAATTGTACCCGTAGAAAGAAACGGACTCAATTTTGCCTGCACAATTGATATAACATTTATATATTTGTTGTCACTTGGAAAAATATAATAAATAGAAAGACTCTATATATGGGATATTTAGTTACCTGTATATCAACCAGAGAGAGAGTAGCTTTTTTGATATCTTCAGCAGTAACTCCAGTAATAGCTGTTCTATAGTCAATAACAGGTTTGTGCGGTTTCACAAATTCATCAAGAATCACCTAAAGCCATGAAAATTTTGATCACTCAAGTTAAGGACACATCATACATTGCAAAAGACCTCAATAAGAAACAAAGATTTAAAAAAAAAAAAACTTAAACAACTCTAAACTATATACCTTTAAATTGCGGTCAACAGCGCCAACTCTAACCACACCTTCAGTCCCATCTTCACAGAGAACCATCTCACAATCAACAGCTACCATTTGGTTTGAAATCATCGACGTTTTCATTCCAGCATCGGATACAAGCCAGTCCTGCTTTGCAATTTTAAACAAGTCTTAAAGAACCGCGTAAAATGATTAAACACACACACACACACACACAAAACTTGGTTATAATAAACGGCAAAAGACAATTGTTCAAAACAGGAAACAAACCTTGGAGTAAGAATAAAACGAATAGTCTTGTCGGTATTGAGGATGCTCAACAGTCAACCGAACTACCTTCTGTACTACCAACAACATTTTCAAACATATTATTATAAAACTTATATAGACATTCCTCAAAACATGTTATATAAACCTAACTAGTCCATTGTTCATTGTTTATAGAAATTTCCAACACACCTGTTCAGGAGTGTCATTAACCGGAGGTTCCTGCTTGAACTTTTCAATCATAAGACGATTAGCCTGACGGTTCATTGCCTTAAAATTAGAGAACAAACAAAAGATTAGAAAACCAAAACTCATTAAATTATCAACCAACATTGTATTATCTTGACTTACATCTTTGTTCTCCATAGGTACCAATCAATTTTTCCAGAGCCGGGGTGATGTTTGTAGTTTACTCTCTCTTAAGGAAGTGTATCTATGAGTCTGCTCTCTCTTGTAGTGTATGTCGACGTTTCATGTGCTGATGTTGATTTTTATAGGCGTTTTTCTCTAAAGTATTTAATACTACTAGTCTAGTCCATTGTTCTTTGTTTGTTGACTTCTCCTGAGATTGTATATAAAATTAATTTAGAGCGTAAACGTGTTTTTATTATCAGTGAAATTTTGAAAACCCATTGACGTGGATAAAGATCATTAATTATTAATGTAGTTTAGAGATAAAAATATCCGAAATCAATTATCAGAGATTCTTTGAATTATTTATTTGTTGACAAAAAAAAAAAAGAGAATCTTTGAATTAAAATATTTTAAAATAAACGTATTACTTTACTAGTAATGATAAGATTTTTTTTTTTCAAGTATGTAAAGGGTAAACAATTGTCCTCCCAATCGGTTCATATAAGTTAATTATAATTATTGTTGACAAAAAGTTTTTTTCTTCTTTTTTGTTTTTAGAATTGTCATTTACGATTTCAAAAGAAAATGTTAAAGCAAAACGAATGAATTTGTATTTTGCTCCGTCGACCACTAGACATAAATATGAAAAATTAATGTTTTATAATTGCTTTTTAGTTTCACGATACAAAGCTGTGTGGGAAAAGAAAAATAACATTTTCCAAAATTTTAGTAGTGCATGCTTTCCTTTACTTTAAATTGAATTGTGAAAAGTCTGATTTATAAAAAACAATAATACCGAATTACATAAGTAGGAGGTATTTGTTCTGGAATATCGAAAAACCAAAAAAATTAGGTATTTGTTTTCTAATGAGATGCAATGAAATTAAATGGAACTAGTTGTCTTCACTTTGACACCAAGTCAATGAAGATTAACTATTTTATGATTACATAAATAAAATACTAAGAGGAGAGAAACAAATTACTGGATACTAATAAGCAGCTTAAGCCACGAAAATTTGAAAATGAATTGTGCGAACATATCAAATTACAGAAACAAGAAATAATATTATTACAGAAGTAGAGGTTTTATTCAACGGTGCAATCAAATGGAACTATTAGCTTCTTCACCTTGAGACCATCTCCTAAATGTGCAAGCCACCAAGTTCCTTCCTGCAATTAACCCTAACTTTGCCTTTAACATAGCTAATCCTAACCTACTAACACCTGCAACCTCCACACCGCCATTACCATCAGCCACCGGGGGCAGGTCCTCGACAACCGTCTCGAGAACTCTCTGATCACCACCATCCACTATGCCAGTGCCATTGGTTTCATCACCATCCATACTCACCACCAATATACTCCGTTCACGCAGCCATTCCCTGACTTCATGTGTAACCAATCTACATTTCTTCACCTTTAGTTTCACCAGCTTAGGACAGCCTAAAGCCAGCGCCTTGATCCCGACGTCTGAAATAAGACATCCCTTGATACAGAACTTCTTCAACCCCACACATTTCTCCGCGATGCAACCAATCTCCGTGTCTCCAATCGTACCACTCCCACAAAGAGCTAACCGTTCAAGCTTCTTACAGTTTCTAGCAATAGCGGACAAGCTCGTATGTGTGGCATTAACACCGATAAGTACAAGTTCTTGCAAATTCAAGCAGTGTTTAGCTACAGCCATCAGACCACAATCACTGATTCTGTTAGTCCTCCAACCATCAATGTGAAGCTTTCTCAGTAACTTACATCTCTCGACAACACTAGCTAAACCTAAATCCGAGCATTCAGGAGTTTTCACTATGTGCAAAGTTTCTAAATTTGAACATTTAGATATAGCAGAGAGTCCAACATCACTCACTTGGAGCCTCTCCAGATGAATATCAGTTAAAGAACTATTCCCATCTCCCTTCATTTCAAGAACTCTATCCCAATTACCTAAACAACGAATGATTTTAAGTTTTCTCAACGTTCTTGTAGCAATCAAAGATTCAAATACCTGACCATTAACAAGCTCCTTCAAACATATCGATCTGAGTGAAGAAGACGAACTCAGCTGAATCGGCTCAGCCAATTCGTGAATTCCCCTAATCCGCTTCACAGATAAATCCTCAAGAATCATACAATGCTCGAGAATCGCGTTTATTCCCTTGGCACCGAAATTACAAGAGCCACACGATAGTTTCCTCAAGTTCTTACAGTTTCTAGCAAACGATTCCATACCTAGATCCGTAATCTCGCGACAACCACGAAGCTTGACTCGAGTCAGATTCGAGCAGCGAACCGAGACCATAACCAAAGCTTCATTGCTCATGCTCAAAGACCTCCGATCACAACGAAGAGCGAGCTTCGTCACTGAATCGAACCGATCGAACATACAAGGCAAGAAAGGGAGAATCTCAGCCTTAGCGTGAACTGATAACCGGTGACGATTCTGACCGTCGACGAATAACCACCGTTTGCAAACGAGAGAACACCGTTTCCGATCTCCGGCGCTGAGAAAGTTAAAAACATGAGCGAGGCAATCGTCCGGTAGATCTCCCGTGAAATCGTAATCTCCATCTTCGAAGTCAATCGATTCGCAATCGAGAAACTCCGGTGACCAGAGAAACATAGAAGTATCGCGTACGCTCGGTTCCGCCAGAGACGACGGAGCTTGTCCCATTGCTTTTTTTCTTTTGTGTGGTTGAGTAGAGGCCTAGAGGGTAAGGTTGCGTTGAGTCGCGAGTCACACGAGTCACGACGACTCGTGAGATTTATTTAATTTTTTCATTTCAAGTTTTTCTCCATGTGTCAACTACTTTCCTTTAAGGCCTCCATTTCTTTCGGACGTTTGGCCCATTGGGCCTATTAGAACAACACAGAGGGCGTGATGACTTTTAAGGCTTTAAAATGGTTTTAAAGCTTTAACAGTAATTAATTTGTCAATCAATATTTTTTGCTTTTATTTTTTTTTTAAACATTAAAAGTCACTTCTTTTTGTTCCTTCTTTGTTTTCTCATTTTTTTCAAAAACCTGGCTTTAAATTTAATCAATTAAAAAAATTTATTTTTCATATCTCCATTACATTTAAAACTTTTTCACAAGTTTATAAATATATTTTATATATTTTATTTTTATAAATTAATTACTCTCATTTTTTTCCTTGTTCTTTTAAGATCCATTTCAATAATACTTTTATTTTATAAATTCATTTATAATATAATTTATATTTATTATAAATATAAAATAATAATAATAAAAATAACATGCATAACTTTAAAAGTTGTTCGTTACCATTCAGATTTTAACAGTAAAAGTTTATACAACCAAAGCATCTACAGCCAAAATTTTAAAGTTGTAGTTGATGCATCTGATTGATGTAACTTCTAGCCAGAATTTAAATCGAACCGCTGACAGAATTAGCGATTAGATGTTTTGGTCGATTATCGTTGCAGACTTGTTGTCGTATTTGTTACACGGTTTCCGTGTAACGTATGATCGCTGTTGCTGATCACATGGTCAAACATACTACTCTAGTGATCCACGGCCAAATTTTAAGTTTTTGCAAAGCTATTTATCTCTTTCGAATATGTTTTATTGTAACAATACCCTACAGATGCTGGTTTGTAAGAAGAAAAGTTTTGTAAAAGCCCAAAATCCATTGCAAGGCCTCTTGTATTTAATGTACTAATGGGTCAAAAGGGCCCAATAATGATACAATTTGACAATCGACAAAAAACCATCCTTTATTTGATTCTCCTCAAGTAGCTTACAATGGTTTCGGTTGTGGATGCAAATGCTACATTATTAGAAACTCGAAGAGCAATCATGAATTGATTTATTAAGGGATAAAAGATAAAATGAAATTTCTTAAAATGGAGAAGAAAAGAGGGAGAAAATATGGTATTTATGGTAAGAACATTTGTGAAAAGTTTTGGGAAGTTGGGTGGGTTTTGCTGGAACACACTTATACACTAAGGTTGAAGTGAAGGAGTTGAATCACTCTCTCCACATCTTGCTTAGATTCTTGGGCCATTGAAAAGTAAAACAAATATTAAAAAGCATGAGGTTGATATTATACTGTAAGATGATTTTAAAAGAACATTGTTAGAATAGACTAGATCTCACAATTCAATTCAACGCCCCCCAAAAAAAAAGGGGTTAAAAAGTAAATGAATTTAAAGAAGACAGAAGAGAGATCTACAATTCTAGTGGATATCAAATCATATTTCTAATTAAACGTCGTGATATATGGAATAGAGTGCAAAGTTTCGACTTGTTTTCCAATCATAATTGTAACTCATGGTGAAGAATGATTTCAAAATCGAGACATTTTTTATGCATGCATCATCGATAATTTCGTTTGGCGGAAAGAAATGTTCTTGATGCATGATTTGGAAGTTGATGCATCATTGATCATAATTATGTTGTAATTTTTGTTTGTCGCTGTGGTTAATTTAAAAGTTGGAAACTTATTAATAGAAGTTAAATTTTGTTACTGTATGTTCTATTTAGTGTAAAAAAGTACACAACTATTTTTTTTTTTTTTTTTGGAACACAACATTCATTAAGATTAAATGTTTTCAGCATACATAGATAGAGCAAGCTTAGCTAGGGAGTCGGCCTCAACATTGGCTGCTCTAGGGATGTGACAACAAGAGAAGGATGCAAAAGATTTAGAGATGAGAATAATATCAGCGAGGATACCATGAATTTCGGGAAGACATTGTGACAAGTTGATAGCTTGAACCAAGCATCGACAGTCGGATTCTATGCGAATTTGCGAGAGATTGAGCTCAATCGCCATCGTAATAGTTGCTCGAAGAGCTAAGGATTCTGCCATAAGGGGTGAGGAAACATTCGTCGTGATAGATGATCTTCGGACCGACTCCAAAGACTGATGAGAGATCAAAACACAGCCGAGTCCTGCTACCCTTAAGTCTTGTCTCCAAGCTGCATCCGAGCGGAGGACACGCACCCCCGCTGCCACGGGAGGGGGAACTGGCTGCAGAGATGAAGAAGCCGGAGCTGGTTTGCTGTACACCTGGGCTGCTTGCCATTCCTTTGCATCTTGGATTGCTTTGAGGAT